CCAGAGTTGAAAACACTGATCCGCCCTGGAGATTCGCTAGTATCTCGGAAATCGTAGGCATTGGGTACACCGCTGTCCTTGCTTCTTTATTTACCGTGCTACGGTAATCTCCACACAACCTGATAGTGCCATCTTTCTTCCGTACGACTACGACTGGCGTGGCCCACTCCGAGTGTTGAGTTGGTTCGAGGATGCCCTGATTTTGGAGCATCTGAATTTCGGCTTCCACTGCTGTCCGCATCGCGAACGGCACCGGTCGTGCCTTGAGAAAATGTGGCTTGGCATCTTCTTTCAACTCCAGGTGCACAGGTGGGCCATTGTGTCCGGTGATCTTGCAGTCGAAAACGTTGTCGTGTGTGCTTAGAACCCTTGCAACGTTGCCGTTGGCACCCACGTTGTGTATTCCGCTCACTCGGATTCTTAGTGCGCTGAACCAGTTCCTTCCTAGCAGGTTGCAGCCCCTTCCTTGCGTCACTAACAGAGGTAGTACGTAGTCCTTGGACTTGTGTCGTACCTGGACATCGGCTGTGCCGAGCACTTCCACTCCTTCGCCTGACCAGGTGTGTAGGGTCACATCTTCTTGGTCTAGCCTCGGAGGGTGTTTTGGCCATATCTGACGATATGTTTCCTCGCTGATGATGGTGCAGGCCGCTCCCGAGTCCACCTCAAAATCCATGACTCGATTTTCAATCTTGAGCTTGATCATGAACTTGGGTGATGCACTTGATGCTCGCACAGCATTAAGCTCGTATAGATCTGCCGAAGTTCCAGGGGAATCATCCTCGGTTTCAAATGCATAATCTTCTTTTTCGATGATATGTGTGGAGCGCGGGTATTTCTTGAGTCCTGTCCTCGCGAAGCAAGCCTTTTCAATGTGGCCCGTTTTGTGACAGAAGTTACATCGCGCGTTACGGAATCGGCAGGAAGCAGCTGAATGTTGTTCCTGGCACCTGTAACATCTGGTCGATTCGGATGTTCTCTTTTCCTTGATGTCTCTTTTTTTAAGTGGTGTCTTCTCTTTCCGGATTTCGTGAATTTCGGACTTCTCTGCTTTCAGATCCTTTTGATGCTGTGCGGCGCTCTCTGTCCGCAGCGCCATGTCGTGCGCCTTCTGAAAGGTCAGGCTTACTTCTGCAAACAGTCGCTGTTGTAAATGTTCGTCGCGCAGGCCGCACACAAAACGATCCCTCAACATTACCTCGAGAGGCAGCAACGTTGGGTTCAGCTCTGGCTGTCGAGCAGGAGATTGTGCTTCGCCTGCGGAACCTGCGTTGCTGGTGCTAGCTGTGACCGCCGCTGGGGTTGCCGTCAGAACTCCGAAATTGCAGTCGGCAGAAAGCTTCTTTAAAGCTGCGACATAGCTCGATATCGACTCGCCCACCTGCTGGTCTCTTCGCTGAAATTTCGTCCTGCTGAAAAGCTCCGACGGCCGCGGGTCGTAGTGTTTCTTCAATGTCGCCATGAGCTCGTCGAAACTGACCTCACCAGGAGTCTTTGGTGCCACGAGCGCTCGTACCACTTCGTAAGTTTTTGCTCCGCAAAGGGTCAGCAGTAAAGCCCTCTTCTTTGTAGGCTCCAGCACTCCGTTTGCTTCGCAGTAGAATCCAAGTCGCTCTGCCCAAGACGGCCACGCTGTTCCATCAAATTCTTCCAGCTTGCCCTGGGTAGCCATCGTTCACTCGCCCTTGTGGTGTCCGTTCACCGACCTCGTCGCCAAAAATGTGGTGTATCGCGAGTAAGACCAAGCTGCAGCCGTTAGTCGCTCGACTCGTTCGTTTTAATCATGGCTCCCGACTGACCGAGACCCGTGCTCTTTCAAACCGCGCGCTCTCAGCACGCGGGGACCGCGCGCTTCCCAACATGTCCCGCCATCTGCTATAGCATAAGCAGATACATCACAGTTACTTTCATCGTTACCTCAGAAAAAGTAATAGAACTACAGTTACAAGTCACATTTTTAAAAAGTTGCTCGTTACAGTTACAAGTTACCAAAAAAGTAACGAAGTTACAGTAACGCGTTACTAGTAACGCGTTACTACCCAAGACTGCCGTCACGGTGTCACTGTGCATGCCGGCTGATTGACTTCACATATGAGTACTGCACTTTGCTATTACAAGGTGTGATCAAAAAGTTCCGGGACTGATTTGGTAGCGTAAACAGAGAGGGCAGCACAGTGATGCGCGTGCAGTGGTCGAGGGAAGGGACCATCGTGTCCCGCTGTACCAAAGGGTGGCGCTCTGTGAACATTTGGAGCTGCGCTTCATGAGTGTTTGTGACCACGTGCACGAGCACAATGGCGATTTCACCATAAACTGCAAACCAAAGCGAGAGCGAACATCAGTTCTGCGTTAAACTTCGCAAATATAAAACAGAGGCCTTTGAAATGATTCAGCAGGTTTGTGTCAGAAAGCAGTGAATTTTGTGAAGTGTTTTATGTGGCACTCACGCATCAGGAACGGCAGAACATCGGTGGTAGATGAAGAGCAGTAGGGCGACCTTATCCGACCTCTACTTGACTTCAGTGACGTACTGCCATTCTCGACACGCGAGTGTCACTCAAAACACCTCGCACATCTCACTGTTTTTTTACTTAAGCCTTTTAAATCATTTCAGAGGTCTCTGCTTTGGGTTTGCCGAGTTTGACGTAAAATTGATGTTCGCTCTCACTTTGGTTTGCAGTTTATGGAGAGATCACCATTACGCTCGTGCATGTGGTCAAACAAACTCGTGTAGTGCAGCTCCAAACGTTCACAAAGCAACGCCCTTTGGTATAACAAGGCACAAAGGTCCCTTCCTCCGACTGCTGCGCACGCATCATTGTGCTGCCCTCTCTTCTTACGCTAGAAAATCAGTTCCGGAACTTTTTGATCACACCTTGTATTTCTAAGCGCCTGTATGATCACTTAATTTGAGTAGAACGGCACTTGCGATAAAAAGTCAAGATCAGAAAACAAAATTAAGCATATATTCGTTTTGCTATCACAGTTTCTGCAGCACGGCTTTTGATGACCTTATATTTAATGCAGCATAGTGCAGTGTCGAACACACTTTTTTTCTTAGTTACTTGGAACTGTGGACTTTCCGTTTTAAGAACCAGTTTGGACCAGTGTGCACGTGGTAGAACCAGTCACCAAACCGTTATTTCAAATTTATCACTGGACTGGAACTAAACCAGAACAAAAAAGAAAAGCTACTGAACTCGAACGTGAACCAAACCGAATTACCGTAAAATACCCAGAAGTGCCCACCTCATTCAAGCGCCTACTATTAACATGTTCCAAACTTGGAAATTTTCAAATTATACGTTAAGCGCCCAATTTGACCGGACAAGCACCCATTTCTAGATTGATTCAGTTTTCAGTGAAAGTGGAGTGGGCTCACCCCTGGTATTTTACAGTAATGACCAGTTCAACTCCCTGCTTACAGGTGTGATTACTTAACGTAAAATACCGGGCAAGCTCCCACTCAAAATTTAGAGATAATCGTGAAAAAATGGGGGATGGGCACTTGTCCGGTCCTCAATTTTACATATAGATGTACTGCTCATATTTTCTCAGATCTTACGAATTTGGGAATGGGCACTTGGTGTGGAATGAGTGAATGCACAATATTCTGCTGTATTTATTTTGAATTTTTCTCCCTCAAATATTTAAAGGAGTGGATTGAAGGCAATCATTGTTGAGAGCACTGGTGTAAAAAAAGTCCAAGTGCATTTACGCTATCGCGTGACGTGTGTCACAGCAACAGCAGCTTGGCCCTCGCGTAATTCGCTATCATTGTGGCACCGTTATCGTTTATGTACATCCTCCCGAGCAAAATTCTGAGGACTTCACGCCATTTTCACTTCCACTCCCAATTCCACCCCTGTACCCGATCCATTATCTGTCTACAACGAGACTCCTCGGTGTGCCATAACCGAAAATCACATTCTTCGGACCCGCTAGGAACTTTCTGAAGTCTAGCCGTACGGTGTGCAAGTTCAAATGCTCTAACGGTCGTGCGCGTGCGCCGACACAACGAAGTGGCAGCTACAGCCACTGTCAAAGCGAGAATGGCGTCTCTTCTGAACGCCTGGCCTCCAGCACGCGTTCCTTGCCTTTTGATGCACGCCCTGGCTGTGCAGGCACGCTCGGGGCACCAAAGTTTCCGCAAAGGACGACAACGCAATTCCCTAGGGAGGTTTTCACAAACAGCTGTGATTGTAGAATTAAGGCACTCCTTTGATCTACCGCCCAAATGGCCCTACGCATATTGTCATGGATAAAAAAAAAAATTCGAAAGGTGTAAAACTGAAATTAAAGGTTTAATCGGCGAACTTGCGCCAGACAGAACAGAAAGAATGAGCGAAGAGAAAGCAGCAGCGAGCATTGAAGTGTCGACACGACAACCAGACGGCACGAGAGAGTCGGCAAGGCCATGCTGGGCTCCTTATCTACCACGCTTGGTGTCTCAAACAATCAGCCTAGAATGTCCGAGCAACGAACATTTGGGGTAAGAGTAAGCACGAATATTTTAGACGTATAGAGTCGCATTCCCTCTCGGCCAAGCACGCGGCAATATCTGGGCGGCGCGATAGTGTGACGTCGGGTCACTCACGTAACAGCGGGACGTGGCTTAAGGTGCAAAGTGGAGGCGTCGCACGACATCACAGTGTCAACATTATTCGATCTAGTAGTGTCGGGTGTCACGCCGGGGTGCAACTCGACGTGAAATGTCGCGTGACACAACGTAGTGTCGTGTCACTGCGATGCCACGTGACCCGGCATAACCCGACGCAAGCAACGTGGTCGCATGACCACACGACTCGTAGGAGCGTCCCGCCAGACTGAGCGGGAAGTCAGCCCGTTAAATTCAGCCGATGACGGCCCACGGCCATGGCGACAGTGACGGCAAACAAATCGCAACTTCGAATGCGTTCTCCGTTAATGACCTGCAACAACAGCCAGAAAGGGGACTGGCTCCACGCCAACACGTCACGATGGACAAAAGGGGACCTCACCGTCGTTTCCGTGGGTGGACGACAGCGAGCTGCCGTAGGAAGACGCGCTCCTCCGAGGGATGGAGATGGCTCCCGAACGAGAGTGCGATGACCCGTTGGAGTAGGTGGGAGACGAGGTGGCCGTGTCCGCGCCAAACACGTCGTCTTGGTTCAGGGGCCGCGGAGGCGTGACGAGGTGCGAGCGTCGCCGAACGTTTGCTCTCTGCAGGGTGCTCATCCTGGCGTTGAAGAGAGGGGGGTCAGTAAAGGGAGAAAAAGAACTGCCATCATTTCTACATTAGTGGTTTCAGAAAGCAAGGCTTCCCCACAGCATAGCACGAAAGAAATTGTAACAAATTAAGTTGGTGGCACGAAAGTATAAAAAATGTACAGTTGAGTCTCGTTAATTTGAACTCGAGGGGGACCGAAAATTTGTTTGAATGAAGCAGAGTTTGAATTACCTTTGACAGGAAAGAAAGTCTTTTTATTTGTTACCCAGACAGTGACTTTCTTGCGGTGCAGCACAAGCAGACATAGGGAGATGTGCTACGTCTAGGAAGCTAGTTTAAAACTACAACGTTTACTTCAATAAGTGATGTTATTTAAGAATTAATCCAATGCATTTACTTTCCTACAGAGCCCAGGTATGAGGAGCCGGTGCAATCTATAGAGACGGCTTCAAGAATCATAAGGGGAAGATAATGTCTTAATGTAAAAGTGCCATCAACACTGCAACATTGAGGACAATGTTTCACATGCCCAGAATCAAGGGCAAATTAAACTTTCGGGAACAAATATTTTCTCGGCCCCGTCCTTCACCATGTTCGTTCCATGCTTCGTTATAAAGGGTTACACATATGTGGGCCTTGTTCATTAACAGTATGAAAGTTATTGGCATAGTTGTCAATTATTCGGGGCCCTGGCAACCAAAAGTATGCTACAGTGGAACGCTGATTATATCACTTTTGTGGGACCACGCAAAATCGTTGTATAATCCGCAAGTCGTATCATCCGAAAAAAAACAATATTACGGATACAGTGATCGGCCTTGCGAAAAAAGACAAGCGGAGGTTTTAAATGATGTCTAAGCTAATACCCTGCTGTACTTTGACAAAGCAAGAATTGTTGAAACAAATTGAAATGAAACCATACAATTGTGTGGTAAAGAAATCGGTAATCGCCTGCTGGACTTTCTTTCAGTCGCGCAAAATCAGCTTCTTTTTGAAGGCCGCAAGCTCTAAAAGCGGATCGGCGATGCCGTCGTGGGTGCAAAACGAAATGTTGAATTTTGTCGATACTATGTAAAGCGTTTGTCGGCATGCACAACTGCAACGATCGGATCCTTGTCGCTTTTCAGACTTTCCGAAAGCGGGAACAGCGGGAACCAGCAGAAAGATGCTCAATTCTGGGAGAAGAGTTGAAGAAAGTGGCATCCAGAGGGAGAGCGAAAATAAATGAGAGGCGAGAGAATGATGGGATGAGCGGAGCAAGGTGGGCAAGGATGCGCCGCGAAAACGCCGAGGCATTTAACAACCTGGGGAGGAGGAGAGAAGGCACCGCCTCCTGCTCCCTCCCGGCAGAGCTGCATATTGGGAGAGTGTGGCCAGTTTATGATCACGCCACTGTAACGCTCCCCTCTTGAGTGAGCCAATCAGCCCGCGGCGGAGAGTGAGTGGCACGAGCGCATGTGCGTGAACTTCCGGCTGCTCCTAACTGTGCAGGGAGGGCTGCCATTTTCACTCATTCGCCCGGTGGAATGCACGGGATAGACGTCAAAATTTAGCTTTTTTCCTTTTATTTCACTGGCTCTGGAAAGGAAATGATATACGGTCAAGCCCAGTTATATCACACCCAGGTATTTCGAATTATTGTTTATATCAAACAGTCCAAACATCCCCTTGAAACTCACATGTAATACTATAGGAGCGTTGTTTTTTTTGTATCAAACTCCTGTGGTGGGGACATTCGATATAGCGAACTAAAACGGATGCCCCTCGCTTCTCCCACGGGCGGTCGGACTGCACCCGCGGTGAGCACATAACTCACGTTGCGGGGCTGGCAGACCGCCAAGCCAGCATACGCGCAAGGGGATACGCAACCAAAGATCAGTTGTAAAAAAGACAAATGCAACCGTACTAAAAAAAACAAGTGGAGGATGGCAAAAACAAGGGGAACGGCACGTGCGTGCATAGAGAGGGCAGGGGGTGCTTGCTGTTGCAACGGTAGCGTGCGCTCTTTAACCGAACACTGCTGTCGCTGCGCGACTCCTCAACCCCAAAATAAAATAAGCAAAAAAAAAAAGTCTTCGTAAAGTCGAACATGTTGACAACAGTTGAGCAATCACACTTTGACCGCCTTATCGTTGTTTACCTTTTTCTTTCCTTTTTCTTCTGCCGTTATTGCTTTGCCCCTTTTTTTTTCTGCTTTTGTTTTTTTTGTTGTTTGAATTTAGCGAGGTTTCTTTTTTAATTTTTTTCCTTGCTTACCTTTATTCTATGGATCGAGTTTTTTTTTATGCAGCTCACTTTTTCCGTTTTTCCATTTTTTTTAAAATAATTTTCGCGTTTTCTTGTTGGCGCTGTGTGGTCGTGGCCAAGCGTAAATGACCGCATCGCGTAAATGCGATGGTGTTTGTGATCTTCACCGACTAAGCTCTACTGTATTTAGCGGCTCTTAGAGACTCTATTTGGTAAGGTCCCGTTTGTCGCGGCCTTCGGTATTAGCAGAGACATGCGGAAATTTCAACTGGAGCCTAAGTCAACATAATTTTGTATATCAAATTATCGATATATCTAACTACTTTACAATCCCCTTTGAATTCAATGTATCCGGGTTCAACTGTAGTGTTATTTCTTGGTAGGTTAAAAAGCTAACAAATGGAAGTTTTCTGGACGTTTGACTGCAAACTTTTATTCAGGCGAAAAAAAAGTTGCCCCGCAGCAGACGACGGAGAGCCTCAATAGTGCTCTGCGCCGAGCGTGTTGCGTCAAAATGGCAGTCGGTTCCTCCTTTGCTCCCCCCTTCCTCTCTCGTTCCTTCGACAATCTCTCCCCTTTCCTTCACTTTTCTCCTCTCCGGTGCCTTTGTCACCACGCCTACTGGCCAGACTCTCCTAATATACAGCTCTGCCTCCCGGTGCTAAGGCTGTCTTGGGTTGCCGGCGGCCTGTTTTTTGGACCCTCTAAAACGGCGCGCAGAACTCTTCTGCATTGCCACGCCGGCCCCCCCTCATGCAACCGTCGAACTCGTAGTGCATTTCCGAAACGTCGTATGATGCGCCGGAACGTTGTATGATGTGGGACGCGTAGAATCACAAGTCGTGTAAACCGAACTTCTAATATAATATTTCTATGGGGAGTTCGTCGAAACCAGGCAAATTCATCATAAAATGCTGGATGTTGCATAAACCAGGGACGCATGATCGAGGTTCTGCTGTAGTACTTCACCTCTGCATGCCATGTGTGTCTGTGCCTTGATAGTTCTATTCCCAAAGTCGTTCAGGTATAATTAAGATGGGACAGGGAAAAAGTCTCTGCAGTTTCTGTGAACACTAACACGACCAGGCCATCATAATTGTACATGATAACATGAGGAAAAGGCCAAGCACTCTGTATCTACATAGAATAAATTCAACCTGCAAGCTTACTTGGGGCCCAGTTGACTAGGAGAGCATCCCTTGAAGATGTTGGCATCATATTCATCATAATCGTAAACAACGGAGATACAGTCAGTTGCCCTGATGGTTGGCTGGCTTCTGCAGGCATACATTCCTGTTCGTACGAGACAAATACTGAGCGACACAAGATGAACAAGGCATATGACTTGGCTTTACTACCAGCATACAGCACTCATCAACTCCTTCCTGACCATGCAGAAAATGCATGTTTTGTGTGACTTTTTGTTACTTTTTTTCTCCCGAGGAAACTATTAAATTTACAATATTATGCCATGCATAGAAATTGAACAAAATAAATGGGCTTTTGAGTGATGCAAACATTAAAACAGAAACTTGAATTTGAATTCACTATTTAATTCATCATACACAATTGTTTTCCAAAGATTGGTCCAAACCACAAGTACAGATATAGCTATAGCTAACGAAAAAAAAGTGCAAAACAAAGGGGAATTTACAAAATATGTTTTTCACTTTCACAACAAAAAACTAAGCCAAAACTATAGTCGGTGACAGGTCAAGAACAAAGTGGAAGCTCTTCCCACCCCTTTCCACTTCAGTGGAGTGAACGATAGAGAGGAGGTCGCCTCCTCTTCATCGTTCGCACTACTAAAGAGTAAAGAGGTGGGAGGAGCTTCCACTTCGTTCTTGACCTGTCTCCGACTACAGAGCTCCAACTCAAAAAAAAACGTTCCACCTTTCCACTCTCGTAAAGAAGGAAGACCAGCGGAGCTGTACTTGATACACTACTGCAACGCGCACGCGCCCGTTTCCCGCTTCTTCTTGTCCGACATGCCGCCGATCGTGGATACGTCTCCGGCAACCCAGAGTTGGTCACACACGGCGCACGTGACGCCAAACAGGTAATCCACGAACACGCTCCGGAACATCGCCGTCGCGCCCGGGAACTGTTTAGCCGGCGTGGAGTGCAGTTGTCGCCGAGCCTCGCGCTTGCGCTTGGCCTCCGTAGCACGATCGTCGTCTATGGCATTGGCCCGCTGGCGCCCTTTACATTGCTGGTTCTGTTCTCGGCGGCGCCTTTCCAGGCAAGCGATGTGCTCTTTTTTGGCAAGGGAATTTGAAGCGCTCGACCCAGTGGAAGTCGAGGCGACAGCGGCTTTGCGGCGTTTACGGACCCATTTGCGCTGCTGCGTACATCGCCGCTCCTTCCGAGCCAGTCTTCTTTCCCCGAAAGGGAGCGCGGTTGACCCATCTTAAGTCCAAACCGAAACTGATACGAGCGTAGGAAACAGCGCGCAAAACAAACGAGGACGAAAAAACACACGTGACGAACGCTGCGCTCATTACGTGTGCTTCTTCTTTGTCGTCTGTTTTTCGCACTGTTTCCTACGATGAATTCCCACCAACGCGCCACCCAACTATCCATTCTTCTATGATAGCTAGAAAGGTTGGCGCCATCTACGAGCGACAGCGGTAACCATACTGGTTGTGTGCTTGCCGCTGTTGCTTATAGATGGCGGTAGCTGTCCAGAGGCGTTTTTGTCAACAAGTGTTTTGTACCGGACACGATCCTCGGGAACCTAGCCCTTAACAGCTCCACTATAAAAGATCTTCATCTACCAAAAATCAAGTCAACTCTCATGACCGACATGCCATTGGACCAAGCAGCTTCTCAATATGGTGATGCGCAAGCAGTCAAACTAAAATATGAAAATCTGGCTTAATCATCACAATTATTTCTGCTCTCAAGAGTCCGAAAAATTGACGAAGGATTCCTGAGGACTGCCGTAGAGTGCGTGACGGACCCGTGGAAGCGGCCATAGCTGTCAGAAACAACGTGCCGTCCGCTTAACACTCTGCTTAGGAATTGCCGCCACGTGGAAAGAGGGAGAGAAACACAAAAACCAAAACTGTGGTCTTCAAACTACCTAATACAAGATGGTGTAGTGAGCAGGAGAGTTCTGCGGGGGTTCTTAGGCGAGTCTATGTGCCCATCGATCACGGATGATCGACACTATATGGGTGCAGTTGGGGAAGAGTTAATATAGACCTGCGTCTGCTGTGTTCCATGGATGCCATGTGACGCAGTAGAAGGGCTGCGCTTTTTGCAAGGCTCCGTTTTTTTAGAAACTTTTGCACATATCATAGTGCAAGAACGTAAGAAATGCACAGCCACGAAGCTCCAAGAACAACACCGATGCCAAGAGTGCAGTAAAAAGTAAAAATCTTGTTTTTATGCGCAGCCCCTCTCTTCACAAGAACCTGCGTTAGAGATCATTATTTTCCATTTTTATCGCTGGGGGCTACGATTTCGGACACTGGTCTATATCGGGTGTCTCCAAACGTTTTGGCTAAGGGGACGGATTGGTGATTTGTCGCAGTGTCGAGGGCCAGAAAATAAACAAGTGAACATAAACGACGAAAAAATAAATAAGTCGATAACCCTTGAAATACATAAACTCAAATTATACCAAAAATACAAAATATATATAAGGTGAATGAGTACACACATACCATATTGTGGTACTACAATCAGCTGAATATGACTTTAAACAATACCCTTTGACTGAAAACAGACGCCAGAGTATCAATCAAGACGAATAGAAATTTCGCCCCATTCAAAGAGGGCAGAAGGCTACCAAGAATGGTAGAACTCGTGAAAAAAGCGTGCAACAGTTGTCACAGCACCATTTCTATAAGTTTCCCAGTGTTGGGGGGGCTTGGTTTGCAGAACTCTGGTCTACACTATGAAGAAAATACCTCCTCTCTATCATAGATTGCATGAAATACAAGCCACTCACACTGTGATCTCCCATAATACAAACGCGTTACTACCATAGCATCTTGAGATATAGCCCTCCTAAAATCGAGAAAAAATTGGGTGAAGATAAGGAATGGACTAACTTTCAGCGAGCAATCAAGAAAAGTTGAAAAAAATGTTATTTGTAGATCATGGGTCTCTATCAAACTTGTCATCGCGGCAAGGGGTAATGAAGCAAAGAGGATTGTACTTCTCAGTCAGCAATGATTGCTTATATCCCGCCATAGCTAACTAGATGCATTTGCACCAAGGTCATCACTGATCCGAACACTATGATTACTAGGAGTCTTTCGGTGTTTAAAAGAAAATAGCAAATCAAACCAAAAATAGGGGGCAAGTTACCTTTCGGGGGCAGGGAATCTCTCGGGATTTTACGCTAGTAATTTTTCAGTAAAAAATATTTATTGAATTACATGACCAAGCGCTGCCAGATCGAGAATTCCGACTGTACACTAGGGGTCTGCACGGGTGTCGGCCAGCCCGGGGTCTGGACTCAGGCCTTGCATTCAAGTCTACAAGGCGTACCAAAACAAACAAAACCAACTGCAACTTTTTTTTTTTAGCACAAATGTTTTTTTTAGGTTTGTCCGAGGGGTTAGGGGAGACACCACAGTGGGGGAGACCCAAATGCTAAAAGCATGTGTGTTTTTTGTTTTATTTTTTTACCGTTTGGAGTGTGCATCGACTGTCCCTCCGGTGCAGCGGTCATTTCCGTCGTTGGCAGCACTGCCGTCGCACAAACGCTTTTCCTCATCAGGTATGCATACATATGCACCTACACAATGCACACCCTCACAGGCATAAGCCATCTGTACGCACGAGGGCCTGCACCCATAATGTGGGTGAAGAGAATCTGCCTCTGCCAGCAAAGGCCAGTGGTATTCTTTTGACCACTTTTTTTTCGGTGGTGCGTGGTAGGAGTGGGCAATTTAGAACTTTATTTCTTTTCTTGTATGGACCTGTCACAACACTTCCCTTCCTTTTCAGCTGTGACATGTGGTCTTGTTTACTGTTGCTTGACATTATTATTTTGCTGTCGTTTCATCAAAAGAAAAGACAATCCGGTTGACCTTTTTCTTGGAACATGCTGTCTAGGCTCGCAGAATGGTTTGACTCGTAATAGCAGCAATAAAAAAAATAAATAGAATTCCTACTGCATTGACTATCATATACTGTGGTCAACCTGTGTAGCAGTGGAAAGCAAGCTTGCCATACCATGCAACTTGTGAGCTCAGCTTCATAATGGGTGTAAATAGGGCGGGCCTCAGCAGGGCCATGAAAATTAGTGTCGGGCCAAGCCGGGCCAGGCCGGCCGTCAGAAATAGATAGTGGGCCGGGTCCTTAAATATTGGTCCGTGCAGGCCTGTACTGTACATTAAAAAGCCTGTTACCTTATGCATAAAAAGCATTAAAAAAAACAGCTCTTCCTAAAAAAAGTTGAAATCCAAAAAGTGCTCAAACATACCAGTGCCGAGAGCTTTCACTTGACTGGGCTTTGGCTGGCGTACACAGAGATTGAAACAATACAGTTACACAGTGCATTTACTATCAACTACACACAAGAAACAGCTCTAACGACACTCAGCTGGAACAGAAGGTAAGCCTGCTCTGGAAAAATGACGCGATTGTACTGCAGCTTACGACTGCACCTCAACTAGCTTGAACAACAAGACGTAAACTAAGAAAGTGGTAAAATCCAAGCGTAAACAATCACCTGCGGTGTTGGAAGCTTGATGCGAGGCACGAACTTGGAGTATGACTGTGCACTAGTGGTTGAGTAAAAACTGAAACAAGAGAAGTCAATGCAGAGTATGCAGACCTGCACTGGTGCTAGGCAAATGAGCTTACCTAACAGAACTCCAATAAAATCCCATGCTCACCTTAAGTTAATCCAGTGAGGCATGTTGTAGTCATCCTTCATGTCTAGGCCAGCAGGGTTTTTTGACTGAAACTAGAAGCATTCAAACTATGGGCACCCAGGCTACAATTCAAACAAAGTGGGCACTGACAGTGACTCAATCTTTATGAGCTCTTTATTTTGAGCCATTGGGCCGAAAGAACCGAGTTAAAAAATTATGGATGTTTACGCTTCTGTGTAATGCGAAATTAGAGCGCAGCTCTTGGGGTATTTTTATTTTGCGATGTACCATGGTAAAGAAGTTAAAAGAAAAGAAAAATATACCTATATATTCATGATGACTGAAAACCTGAGGCTGTGGTTTGAAAAACAGAAACTACTTCCTACTTCACGAGTTTCCGTTTTTCAAACCTGTCTCAGTTTTTCAATCATCATGTATAACTTACACCAGCTCGCCTGCACTTTAACCGTTTTTTCACCTACCATAAAATACCGGGCAAGCGCCCACTCAAAACTTAGAGATAATTGCGAAAAAAATGGGGAATGGGCGCTTGTACGGTCATCAATTTTACGTATAAATGTACTGTGCATATTTTCTCAGATCTTAGAAATTTGGATATGGGCGCTTAATTTGGAATGGGCGGATGCGCGGTATTCTATGGTATATATTAATACTTTTTTGTTTGAAGGTAGGCCAGAGAGGACGAAGAGGGTACGGTGGGGGGCCCCATAATGCAACGTGCACAGTGTTGCATTATGGAACTCTTGGTCGCCCGTTCCCGCATATAGCGATTATGCTGACGGCAACTGCGACGCCGCCATATGAGGGAACAGGCACCTAAGAGCTGTGCTCGGCTGCGCCGCCAAGTTCAATTCATGTGGGAGTGTAAAATGTTCCATGATGCATTCTGGTTGTCTAATGCCTCTTGATGTTATGATCCTTCACACTTTTGAGATGTGCCCTTTTAGACAAATAGTAAATTTAAAGTCTTTGTGCAATTTTTTATTCTTTTAATATCCACTCTTTCCTTGGTTAACATTTAGTTACCTTGAAAAGAGGAACAGCATGAAGGGGCTGCTCTCCAAGGCACACAAGGTCACTTCCTATACCTGCGAGAGGCACAAAAACAGACTTTGAATCGTCACAACAACAAATTTCGAGCTTGCGACATGATTAAGAATTCAGAGTTCAGCACAGTTTTGGCTACTATTGCAGCACACTCTCACCATTGTCAATGATACGCTGCTTGGTGATGTTGGTGAGGTCACGATCCACCTCAAAGACGCCAACACCTGGAGTGATGACCACGCTGATCTGGCCGGTACGGTCGAAACTTCTGTCCATGAAGTGCTTCTCAAAAACTGCAGGTGGTAAAAGTGTAACAGTGTTTAAAAAAATTGTGCAGGTGCAAACTGTACAAAAGGATTGCATAGTTATGCATCTCCTAAAATTCTTTGTTTGCTAGCTTGTGCCAGGTTTACTTACAAAAAGTCCCAGTTCCAACAAAATATAAAGTTCACTTTTTTGTTTGTTCCTCAGTATGTACTTGTTACTAGTGGCACTTCCTGGGCACTAGCAAAAAAAGGCAGTTTTTCCACAGGTCGATTTTGTAGTACAAACCAATTGTTGCCTTCGTTTCTCAAGAATGATTTAAAGATGCCGATTCTTATCACCATTTCCACAAAAAAATAACAAAACCAAAATTTTAAAGAGAGCTTTCACTCTTGTGATCAATGCAAGTATTAGTGAAGTGTAGAACCTTGTTGATATGTTCCCGGCTGTTACGTTAAAAAATGCCGGTCCCGTTTTACTTCGATAGAGATACATGTACTAGTTTCCTGCTTGTAACATTTGCTTTCCCGGTAGTTACGTCCAAAAGTGTCGTCACTGCAGTGCCTCGGTGCGCTGGGCACCAGGCTGCCACGCTGGCTTCGAAGCAAAGCTAGCGAAGCAAAGCGGAACCATGCAATGGGAGTCGCACGGTACGCTTGGGCATGCAGACGCCCGCCTTCCCTTTACTCTTTTTTTTTCCTCTTTTCCATCTCTCTGCCTCCTCGCTGGGCTCTGCTGAGCTCTGCCACAGCTTGCCCGGGTTGTGACCTTGGAGCACTGCTCGGACAGGGAGCGAGGCTGGCGAGGCGGCAAACGCTCATTCACTCTCTCATCTGTCCTTCTCTTTCTCTGGCATGAGGTGCACCCGCATGCACGCTGCTATTCTAGTTTCTGTTCCGCTCGATTGCGTGAACCGTGGTGTTTCGAAGTATGTGCGCTTTAAGCCCACTGACGACGGCCATGGCATTGCGAAAAAGGAAGGCACTCTCTTTTAAAAAGAAGTTTGATATACTTCAGACGGTGGATCGCAATCCCAGCCGGAAGAGATCTGACATCGCAAGAGACCTCGGACTCGCGCCAACAACTTTAAACAGCATCATCACCAAACGAAAGGAGACTGATACGAAAGCTCCTTCAATGCGTCACTTGACGACAATGTCCTTACCTATGAACCACACAGCATAACGGGCATCGTGGCCGACCTCACTATTGCCGGACACAAAGAAAGTGATGAAGATGTCGAGCAAGCAACGAACGATTACGCTGCGCCCACGTTTGCAAACGCAATCGTTGCGTTGGACACCTTGCGCCGCTACGTAAATGTTCACGACTGTGCGGAGAGTGAGAGGACTGCGGCTCCTGGAGAAACGGTTTTTACTGCTTAACATTAATTCGAAGCGGCAGGCGGATATTACGTGCTTTTGTAAACATATCTGAGTCCTCAACAGTTCTGTAAGTACACATAAAATAAACCATTGTATAAGAGCTGCTTTCTATCTCACGTAGAGCCCGCCTTAGTGCGTTATCGGTTTTTACGTTTTCCCGGATGATACGCTTTTTTTTTCCGCGGTCCCCTGAAAAACGTATTAATGAGGTTCTACTGTACTTTTCGCCAATAGGTACTATAGTTACCTTTTCCTTCAAGCTTCAATAGACTCAGAACAAAGCTCATTTCTTTCCCTTCATTTCAATATAGAAGCTGTAGAAACAAAATTTCCTTCAAGGGAGAATGCACAACTACTTAAAATGTCAGTGCTGCTGGAATAAAGTTTTACTATGTGCTCTGTGCACTGGTGTTTAAAAAGAAACCTGTGGCACCATATCCGTTATGCTAAGTCTGTCTCCTTGCCTGTGCAAACAGTTAAAGGGAAGGAGCTCTGGCAAAATACTGATGGTCAATGTCACGTATAATACGAGCAACATTCCACCGCTTTGTGGAACTCTCTACGGCGCCACTCGGGCGATCACGTAGTGCCGCCATCCCGCCGCCGCAGCATCTGGAGATCGGGTTACCCGAGCCGCCCGCAACGCGAGCAGGCTGGGCCGTACGAAGATCGTGGGAATAAAGCAGTTCATACTCAGCCAGCTACTGAAGTGGTCTCCCTTTATATACGAGCCGAGACGCCCCAACATAACATTGGCGACGAGGAGCTGGATCCGAACCTACGGAGCCTGACTTCTACGGTGGGACACCGGGCCACAAGTCAAGACGACGGAGCGGACAATCGAGGTTTTCACGGGCAAGTGCTGGTCTTCCTGGAGCGAGCGGCTGAGCTTCTACTTCGTGGCCAACTCGATCACCGATCCGATGAGGAAACGTGCACTTTTAATAACCTTGTGTGGCGCGGAGACGTTCGAGACTGTTCGTGCTCTAGTTGCACCAAGAACACCAGGAGATGTCAGTTTTGAAGAACTGGTCTCAACCCTGAGAACGCACTTCGATCCTCAACCGTCTGAACTCTACAGTCGCTACAAATTCCAGCGTCGAGATCAACAGCAAGGCGAGTCGATTAGCAGCTACGTCGCTATACTAAAGAAACTTGCAGCCGACTGCAATTTTGGAATAGTGACAACAGCGACCACGACTGCCGTATCGACAATGGGTTCGTCGGGTCAAGCAGCCACGACGACGCCCGTACATACCACCAAACTGCCACTAGACGTCATGCTACGTGACAGGTTTGTTTGTGGTGTAAAGGACGAGTTCCTGCAGCAGCGCCTGTTTGCGGAAAGGGATCTCACTTTCGAGAAGGCTTTCGAGCTCGCAACCAGAGTCGAAAGCGCTTCACAACAGCAACAGAGTATCAAGCATAAGACGGACCTCCCCCTCGTTCACAAGACATAGAACGGAAAAGCTGAAAACCCCGGGCGATCGTCCACTCGACCTTGTTTTCAATGTGAAGGCCGACACAGTCCTTCGACTTGCAGATTCCGTAACGAGGAGTGCCGTTACTGTCACAAGCGTGGAGACATCGAAAAAGCCTGCATCACGAGGAGAAAGCAAGGTAAAAGTGCAAGCCACAAAAGCAGTCAGCACAACGTGGACTTCACGCCCACAGCAGTCGACCGGCAGCGAGAGGAACATGGAGATTTTTACCATGAGCTCAACAAGGTGACACCGCACGGACCGTGTCCAAAATTCCTTGTGACATTGAAGATTGAAGGCAAATCACTAGAATTTGAAGTGGATTCCGGTGCCTCATGTACCCTGATCAGTGAGGAGACGTACCGCAAGGTGTGACCCCATAACCCTCCTCAGCTCCACGAGGACAACCTGCATTTGCGCACCTGGACTGGAGAAGGCCTGCAACTTCTCGGTGCAGCGCAAGTGTCCGTCCGCTTCAAGTCTAAAGACTTCTTGTTGCCACTACTCGTCACGAAAGGGACTGGATGCAACCTTCTTGGCGGAGACTGGTTTCAAGCGCTTCGGATTCGCGTCTGTGGCATAAACCAAGTGCAGCCAACTCCAGCAGCCGTCATGACAATACAGGAGGTCCTCGCACGCCACCCGTATGTCTTTAAAGAAGACATCGACGGTTACACGGGCCCTTTGGTTCACCTGGAACTGGAAGACGGAGCAGCACCCAAGTTTTGCAAGGCTCGTTCTGTGCCCTTGGCCCTGCAAGGACCAATGGAAGAAGGACTTGATCGTTTGCAACAACAAGGCATCCTGGAACCAATACAACATGCTGAGTGGGCCACACCAGTGGTGTTCGTACGCAAAGGCGACGGCACATGTCGTGTTTGCGGCAATTACAGGAACACTGTTAACGCAGCCGCAAAGAAGGCATCGTACCGCTTGCCAACAACGACTGAAGTGTTCGCAAATCTGCGCGGTGGAACTGTCTTCTCGACTCTGGATCTGTACCAGGCATACCAGCAAATGAAGGTCGACGACGAAACTGCTGCTGTGCTCCCCATCAACACCACCAAGGGACTGTTCCAAGTCAAACGGCTCCCGTTCGGAATTTCTGCAGCACCAGCCATCTTCCAACGCATGATGGAGACCACACTGGCCGGAATTCCGGGGGTGAGCGTTTACCTTGACGACATCATTGTCAGTGGGAAGGGCACTCTCGAGCATGCGGAACGCCTGGACCAGGTTTTATTGAGGCTAAGCAAGGCAGGACTACGCCTCAAGCAAGAGAAGTGCCGATTTGGCATCGAGTCGGTTGAGTTTCTGGGATACAGAATTGACGCTAAAGGAGTGCACACTACCGAGGAAAAAGTGCATGCTATCCTTCAAGCGCCCCAGCCAACCGATAAGACATCGCTGCAAGCTTTTCTTGGGCTTCTCGCATTCTACGACCGCTTTTTGGAAAACCGCGCGACAGTTGCCGCCGAGTTGTATAAGCTCCTGGAGAAAAATACGCCCTGGAAGTGGGAAAGGAAGCACCAGACGGCTTTTGATGCACTTAAGAGCTTGATTCAATCTTCCACTGTGCTTGCTCGTTACGATGAGACGAAGCCTCTTCTCTTGTCCGTCGACGCATCACCGTTTGGAGTCGGTACCGTGCTTGCCGAGAAAGATGAACTCGGCAGAGAGGCCCCTATAGCTTTCGCATCGCGAACACTGGGAGCCGCGGAAAAGAATTACTCCAAGCTCGACAAGGAAGGCTTGGCAGAAGTTTACGGTGTCAGGCATTTTCACCAGTACATTGCAGGCAGACACGTGACAGCTTTAACAGATCACCAACCTCTGCTTGGCATCTTGGGAGAAAAAAAGCAAGTGCCCCAAGTCCTGTCACCTAGGATGATACGATGGTGCCTCAAGCTTGCCACTTATGACTACAATTTAGTCTACAGACCGGGGAGACTCCATCAAAACGCTGATGCACTCAGCAGGTTGCCGCTTCCGGCACAAGTCGATGAGCCCTGTCCCCCGGCGGACATACTTATGTTGGCGTCACCTCCAAGTGTCGAGCTATCGCCACGTAAACTCACTCAAATGACCCAACAGGATCCACTCTTGTCTCAAGTGCTCACAGCTATTTCAAGTGGAGAACTGCATACACTGTCAAAGAAACAGTTTTCACCGTACTGGAGACTCGGCACAGAACTTTCAGCACAACAAGGTTGCCTCCTGAGAGGTTCCAGAGTGGTCATTCCCACAAAGGCGAGGAAGGATGTGCTTGACTTGGCGCATGCAGGTCATAGAGGCGTAGTAGCTATGAAGGCATGCGCACGAGGTTACTTTTGGTGGCCAGGTCTTGACAGCGACATTGAAAGACTGGCAAGAAGCTGCGAAATTTGTCGGCGACACCAGAAGGCCCCACCCAAGGCACCAATCCCCGAATGGACGTGCGCGACGATGCCTTGGCAGACCATTCATGCGGACTTCGCTGGTCCCGAGGAGGGGAAGATGCTGCTGATTGTTGTCGACGCGTACAGCAAGTGGCTAGAAGTATGCTGCATGCGTAACATACAGTCAATCGCACTGATTAAGGAATTGCGGGAACTCTTCGCAACGTTTGGAGTCCCCGAAAAGATGGTAACGGACAATGGACCATCTTTTGTTTCGTCCGAGGTGGAAGACTTCCTAAAGAAAAATGGTGTGACGCATATAACAAGTGCGCCTTACCATCCCGCCACAAACAGACAGGCGGAAAGAATGGTCCTCGAGACGAAGCAGGCGTTGGCAAAAAGTCAAAACGAAACAGCAAAATTCGCGTGCAGACTGGCAAGGTCCTTGCTAAAACAGCACACAATCATCTGTACGTCAACTGGAAAAACACCAGCGGCGCTCAAGTTCGGCCGCAAACTTTCTACAGCGCTCACACGCCTACAGCCCCGCGTGCCGGAAGAGCCGGCATCGGAATGCCGCAGAGAAAATTCACCTAGAGAAGTTACAGTAGGACAACCCGTCTTCGTCCGCAACTTCGTTGGAAACCCTACTTGGATTAAAGGAAAGGAACCGTTATGAAGAGACTGGGACACCGCTCTTGGCTGGTTAAGTGCGAGAATGGAACGGTTCGTCGACACCTGGATCACATTAAACCCGGTGCACAGAAGAATCAGACAACGAACCCGACATCGCACAATTCCATCAAGGAACCGGTGACAAGCCATGTTCCGGCTCCATATGTTCTACAGCCGGACTTCCCAGCATCGTCCGAATCCAATCGACCTCCAGTGCCCGAGTCCCAAGATGGAGCTGCCGCGCAATCTGACCCGTGCGACACGGTACCTGCCGACCAGCGGAAGAACGAGTCAGCGCCAGTTTCCACTGCGATGCCAAGACCCCAGCGCGAACCGCGTCCCCCGGACCGCTACGGTGACTCAATCTGAGGAGGAAGGGATGTCATGTATAATACGAGCAACATTCCACCGCTTTGTGGAACTCTCTACAGCGCCACTCGGGCGATCACGTAGTGCCGCCATCCCGCCGCCGCGGCATCCAGAGATTGGGTTACCCGAGCCGCCCGCAACGCGAGCAGGCTGGGCCGTACGAAGATCGTGGGAATAAAGCAGTTCATACTCAGCCAGCGACTGAAGTGGTCTCCCTCTATATATGGGCCGAGACGCCCCAACATAACAGTCATCGATTTTTAGAAAATTTTGAACGTGCACTAAATATTTACTCCGAGTATGTCTACAAAATATCTCCTTATAATAAGAATTTTCTTTCAAAAAACGAATTTGTGAAGTTTAGGCATACACCTCCACCGAATCCCTGGCTGCCACCCAACTGACAACGAGCAAGGGTGCTCGTGACGTCAAATGTTGTATCCACGTATGTCCATCATTTCCACCGGATGATCGCGACAGCCTTTTGATGATTTCAAACGCTGGGCAAAACAGGCTCAAACTGCCCATGTACTGATGTCCATACAACGTCTGACGACGCAACAAGACGGCAAACCAGTGAAGTTGCAGGTTAGTTTTGCTTTCATCGTATTTCTATGATTAAAAATGATTCAGAAAGTTTTGGGGAAATTTACTAGCTGCTCTGGGCTCAGTTTCTTGCACTCTTCAGAAAACATATTTAAATGAAAACGTTCAAACTGACGCCGGAGCTCCCCTTTGAAGCAAAGCCGCAAGCCCCGCCGCCGCCGCCGCCGCCGCCCCGCCCCCCGGCCCCGCCCCCGCCCCGCCCGCCCCTCTCCCCCCCCCCCCCCCAGCGCAAACAAATCCGTAACTCAAGTTGACAGACCATTAAGGGACATGTTGAGGACTTGTAGGAAGTTGCCCTGAGATGCCGTTGAGATGACTGCCGTGGGCACCTTGATGTCCGGCCTGTTGTGGTACTCCAGGATCTGCTTGGGGTACTTGCTGAAGTAGGTCTTTAGCAGCCGCAGTGTTTGGGTCCAGTCGTCAATGCGCTCGTTCTGCACCGCTACCCTAGAGCAGAACGCGGAGAAGAGGTCGTTATGAGTCTGCAGTGGTCCCCGGTGCGTCACGTTACGTTTATGCTGAAGCCCGTAGAGGCTTGTTCACGCAATTACGCTTTAAGGCCCGTTCACACTCTTGCGACTGCTTGCGACCTCTTAAACCTGGGTTCCTTAAAACTTCTTAAACCAGAGAACACACTGGCGCCATCTATTGGGAAGCAGTGTAAACTCGGCGGTCCGGCATATTTTTTTTTATTTCTCGCGCACTATCCTTTCTGTTTTGGCTCGAAAAGCTTTTGTCAATGTTATAAACGAGCCTTTCTATGGGTATTACGCACATTTGACCTCGGAAATCCCGCAAAACCTTCGCTTTTGTGAAATGCAGTTCTAGGGTCACCGCATAGATGGCGCCACAATGTCAGTGTGTTTTCTCATGCTAGAAACATTTAAGAAGTTGTAAGAGATCTCGTCTCGCCCAGTCGTACTCGGTCGCAAGAGTGTGAACAAGCCTTTAGTGCGATCAACTGCGTTGCAACTATACTTAATTAAAGACTTGAGCGTGTTGGTGATCTACATTGACTTAAAACGAAAGAAACACACAAGAGGACGAAACAGACAACAGAGCTTTCGACTTGCAACTACAGATTTACTGGGGCAGTTAGCCGCTCACAGCTCGTCTTGGGGAGGCGATGGGGAAAGGGGAGAGGGGAATGAGGGGAGGTGTAAGAAACACAGGGAGACCATTGCAGGGGCAAACACAGCGGGCGGTCGCAAGTCTGGTCTTTGTCGCCTCTCTCGTGGATGGCACCTCGCGTCGCTTCGTGTCGTCGTCGGCGCGGCGGAGAGAGCGGGGGAAGGGGGGGGAGGGGGGGGGGGGGAGGGGGGGGGGGAGGGGGGGGGGCGTCATCGGAATTTCTTGGGGAAGGCGCAAGATGGACCAGAGCACCAGAGGGTCGAACGAGAACAGAAGGCGAGAAGTAAGAACAGAGGGCGGCTTTCCGGGGTTGTTTTTGTTTGCCACTGTTTTTCCAAACCTTTAAGCTCTAGTGCCGCGCGGGCTGGGGGGCTCCCCACCCTCGCAGAAAGCTAATCTCTCTCCCTGAGAGGGAAAGGGAACGGCTGGAAAGGTTTGTTTTCGCCGACTTGATGCTTACAGATTCTATTATTTCTCTTGCGAATCGAGATTGGTGTCCCCCTATGATTTTTGTTTGGGTGAAATGGGGTGTGCAAGAGGAGCAGTTTTTTGCGTGGACAACAACCGGATGCACGGGATCTTCGGGCGGGCTCGTGATCTCCCTCGCGTGTTCACGGAGACGGTCGTTGATACATCGGCCCGTTTGACCGATGTACTCGGCTCCGCACGAAAGAGAGATTGTGTAAACTTTCTCTCACGCGCAGGGGCGGAAGCACTGGGCATGTTTTTTAGTGCAGGAGGGCGGAGGTTCCGGATTGTTGACACGCTTGCACATTCCACCCAATTGGAATTTGCAGGTGAAAAGAACCCTGGTGTCGAATTTGTGTGCAAGCGCACTCAAACGATGAGATGTGTTGTGCACGTAGGGAATGCATGCAGGGCGGGAGGAGAAAGATCTGGGTGGGGAATTGCGGGGGCGGCTCCCGGACTGCACGATCAACTTTTTGATGTTGTTTTCAATCGGATCCGCGGGGTAGCCTGCCCGCTGAAGCCTAGCCGTTTGGGGCAAAAAACTCTCCTTGATAAGATGGGGACAGGAAGAGGAGAGAATGAGATTTGACGATGCCAGATTTTACTGTTTTCGAATGATGGCTAGTGAAAGATATATGTTATCTTATCCAGACGTACACGCTTCAAACGCCAAAAGCGTCATTTCTTCCTCTGACAACCAAATCTTGTAAGAACTAATTCACGCAACGTGTGAACAGTGTGCAAAAACCCCTTTTTTCTCGAGGTAAAAATGAGTTAGAGGTGTCACGAACCTCCCAAAGTTTGCCGACACCAGGTTCAACATTTTTCACAATTCTATCGCAAAGTTTGACAAAGTTAAAATGGAGTTTGACTTTTGGGCGCATGCACGAGAGAAGTGCAATCGAGCCGACACCACGTGGCAGAGGAAAAGTGTGACACTTGTTGGGTATGTCGTCCTCATATTTCGCGTTAATAAAACAACTCGGGCATTTAAACTACATATGTTTGCTTTTATATTGCATAAACAACGCTAATCATACTGCAAAATTATAAGATAACTTTACGGGTTGTGACAGCTAGATGATGGACATTGAAGAGGAAACGAGGCAGAGCAGGGATAGCAAAAGAAGAGGATTCTACAAATGGCGGATCGAATAAAGCACTATTTCATAAGCTATCTCAAAATATATTTTTAGAACGCTACATTTTGGCACAGTCGACAGGATCCTATCGTGTGGATCACCCTCACTATAAAAGATAACTCCGGAGAAGAGCTTGCCTTCTTATCTTGGCAGCCGCAAGGCGAGGAGGAATTTCCACTACCACCTCGGATCACTACTGATTCAACTCGTTTCTGACAAGTCAGGAATGGACGTCAATGCCCTCCTACAGAAGACGACTGTCAAGGTCAACCTAAAACTAGCAGATTTTCGAACCTTTATCATAGAGCCCATAGAGGAGGGCCCGGTGAATTCTCAAGATGGCTTCAGCTTCCATTCCGGTCCTTAAGGCGGCTCCCAAACCGGAACCCAAGACGAGTTCCAATCTAACTCCCAAAGCGATTTCCAATTCAGAACTCAGTCACTGTTCCCAAGACAATCACCAGGCCTATCCCCAAACAACTTCGTTGATCTCGAAAGCCTTCAGCGTGCTGTCGCAACTAACCCTGAGGACCCGAATTACGTTGTTCGCCAGATCCTCCTTGCAGAACAACAACAACAAATAATGCAAAACCAACAACTGCTTCAAGCCATCGTCGGATTTTCACGAAACCAGGAAGCTCCACGCTTTTGAATGGTAAAGCCGGACCCGTTTGAGGGTCCCTCAACAAACTCGGAAGCTTGGTTGTTATTTTATGAATATGCTAGTGAGAAGAATGACTGCTATTCCGACGACAACAAAGTAAAAAATATGCGACTTTTTCTCACCGGAATGGCGAAGAAGTGGTATGAGTTCCACTTAACGGACCATCTCAACGACCCCTGGGAACAGGGCAAAAGGAGTTTTCACTTGGCATTTCAAGAGAATTCTGTGGAGAAGTGGGATAAAGCTATATTCTACAAGTACAAAGCAGGAAGTGTCATGGAATATTTCTATGAAGAACAACATTTGCTCCAAGTGGAGGACTACCCCCTACCAGACTCATCCGTAGTCCCGCTGGTTATTCACGGACTTCCGAAAGAGCAGCAAAAACAGGTCCAAGGGGAAGCACCCAAAACTGTGGAATCCTTCTAGACAGTTTTCAACATCTCTGCTTAGATGCGTGGCCCCAAGCAGCGCAAACACATACTGAAGCAACCCTTCATTTGCACGGATATGGAAGTCTTGGACAAAAGCCTTTGCACTGGCATTCACAAGCTGTGCCGCAGGGGCAGTCAGCGACTCATCTAGCAACATTTGAGGACACGGCTGAAGTCCAGACAACTACAAAAAACTGATAAATGATGGTGTACAGTCCCACCCCTCGACAACAATGGAGACTCTCTGTTTGTCCCAATCAACACTCTATAAATGTAAATGTGAATGGACGAACTTTAAAAGCTCTCGTCAACAGCGGAGCGTACAGTTAACAAAGGGGTTGTCGAAGAGCTTTTGAGGGTCGTGCAATCGGGGTTCAAGGCTACGATGGAAGAAAGAAAATGCACACCAAATGGATTCATCTGACCATTCAATATGAATCCCAACAAGACCAGACTGAAGCTCTAGTAAGTAATGGACTAAATTATGACTCGCTACTGTCTCGGCCAGATATGAAGAGAATGCACATCAACACATACTGGGATGATACGGTCCAAGTATCTGACACAAACCTTGCCAGTGCAAAGAAAAAGGTAGAATATGTGGGATCGGTTGATGATATACTCATCAACTACCCAGAAATAATACCTGTGGGCAAATACTCACCTGCAACAACTTGTTTCGAAGTACCTTTCGAGTTGGCGGATACCACCATAGTCAGAAGGAAGCCATACAACATGTCTTTAGAAAAGAAACGATGGCAAAAGAGGGAACTAGAAAACATGCTTGATGCCGAAATCATTCGACCCTTGGTCTCCACTTTTGCATCACCAATAACCATCATGCCGAAGGAAGATGGATCACTACGGCTATGTACCGATTATCGCATGATTAATCGTCACACCAAACTTTTTCCGTTTCAAACTTTCCAATGCTCAGAATTGACAACATCATCGATGAGACAGGAGTACAGCAGGGATAGCAAAAGAAGAAGAGGAGGATTCTACAAATGGTGGATCCAGTAAAGCACTATTTCGAAAGCTATCTCGAATTATATTTTTAGAACGCTATACAAGTTAGCATTTTTTTCCCTAAAATTCCGAACGTTTGCATACAAGTCGGGCAACATTGTCCATAAGTCCAACTTTGTCTCCACTGGCTCGAAATAAGTCTGATAATGTTGTAAGGGACCACTTCTCGTCGACAGTGCGCAAATCTAATCTTGGAAACACTGCAAAACCTTTAGTCTGGGCATACCTGTAAAAGTCCTCGTAAAAGCGTCCCTTGTAGTCCACCTGAACGCAGCCGGCCATGTGCGGAGGAAACTGGTCCATACTTTTAGCCTCGTAGAACACGCGGGAGAACAGCACAATGTTCACGTCGTGGTTGCATTTCATGTCCTGCAGAAGCGGTCATAAAAAAGCACCCTTTTACGACAGTCCCAATCACAAATCGGCTACGTAATATTGTGCCTAAATCAGTATTGTAAGAGCACAAATTCAAATGATATCTGCAATGTCTCCATAGAAGTTATGTTTGTCTTACACGCTATGCAAGTAAAAACCAAACAATCTTGTTCTTTTTTTAAAGGATGATCTCATGCACTTTCCTGAAACAGCACATGTTTCACCTACGGTAGTTTTTTTTATTTTTTTTATTAAAATATTACATTATTGTAAAAATCACTTGCTGCCATACCGTAGAATACCGCCCATCCGCCCATTCCACATTAAGCGCCCATATCCAAATTTCTAAGATCTGAGAAAATATGAACAGTACATTTATATGTAAAAATGATGACCGGACAAGCACCCATCCCCCATTTTTTCGTTATTATCTCTATATTTTGAGTGGGCGCTAGCCCGGTATTTTACGCTAGTCATTTGTAAAAGCGTGTCCTATATTTCCAAATAATGAAACACAGAGGGTTCCCAAACTTGATTGCTGGGAGTGCTGGGGTTTTGCTAGACTGCCGCAAAAAGTCCCTCCATCACAAAAATCCCTTCAGTCATCCATACACCTACTGTTTATCCAGTTAGAGCATAACTTAGGCATAGCTCAGAGGTACAACAGTCACTCCAACCTAGTGTGTGTAGTGTTATTGCCATCAAAGTTTGTAAGGTTTAAACAGTTTTATTGCAAGAATGGCAAATGGGGGAGAATTGCTTAATTAAATGGCATTTAATCAAAAACTTATTTGACTGACAGCAGCATCACTTATATGTTTTTGTTCCATTCAAATCAGTTGCTACTCAGAGCTTGTCTTGTCTATTCCTGTCTCTCAGTCCTTGTCCTAGTTGCACTGCATTTTAAATAAAATGAAGCACTGCAGACAATAGATAGAAGATATGTGGCGGTATTTTCATCTCCATCAAACCATCGTATGCAGAATTGCACTTTACAAGGAACCTGGCCGACTCTCACATTCACTAATTAGTCTTTCCGGCACACGCCGCCGCGTTTTTTCCAAGCGTAGCCTCTTGATCCTCTCCCAACCCTCTTTTGTTTGCTTTGACAGGGACAACAAGCAAGCCGAGGCGAGAGAGCATCAAGTGAGACAATTCCAAACGTGTTCCCACGAGATGCGTGCGAACATGGGCAGTTTGTTTGGCAGGCGTCCAATTCTGCCACCCTTTGCGTTCGTCCGAGACCACGCTTCCCACGACACGAAATCTGAGCTAGCTTTTGTTGGAACGCACTCTGCACTAGAAGAGACACCACGTGCCTTCCACCTGGCGATGAGGTCGCAGAGAAACCCGTTGACCGCCTTCTCAAAGTAGAGGTCTCCGTTGATGTCGAAGTCCCACATCTCTGAGCTCATCTGGAGGAAGAGGTAGACCATGCTGCTGGCCGACCGGTACACGATCTTGGTGTCCTCAGTGATCACCCCCGAGGCCACCTGCTCCCCGTGGGCCCACATCTCGCACACCTGGAGGCTGCGACGGAGAGGGCACGCCGTCAGGTCACCAAGCGGGAGAGTCGTCTTAATTAGACGGAGCGGATCTGCCCCTCTCCAGACCCCTTGGGATTCCAGGCGCATGGCAGCCAGCCCTATGCCCCGCAATTGCAAGATTTTCCCCAGCTGAAAAGAACAACCACTCCTAGTACTGTATTTCTGCGAACTATACGGAGGGCAAGTAGCCTGCTTCTTGCGCAGGAGTTGCAGTGCCGTCAGAATGACGCCGAGTTCCGATTGGCTTTGACTGGAAAGATAGGGGGTAGACCTCAATGCTAGATGCTTTGAGGTGTAACCACTATTTCTTTTAATCAGCCAATAAGAGCTTGGCACTGTGACATTATTGCAACTTGCATGCAAGAAGCAGACGAACTTGCGCTCTGCATAGTCCACAAACTATGCATGTTTAAAAGTTAAAATCTTCTGCGGTGCGGACTATCTACTGGTGCGAGCTATATGAGGACTTGCTTTTTACGGCTGTTTATTACGGCGAGGTTTCAAAGACTTTGTGAATGACAGCTTACATTAAGGATAATTTCTGCATGATACAAGCTTCTTTGTGTGCTAATAAAGCAGTCATCTTTCAAGGTGTGCTGTGTATGAGAATTTTGTGTTTTCCAGGTGAAGACTATCTAAGGAAAAACCTTTTTCTTAAAGCCGAAATCGGCCCCAGCAGACTGACTATACCCCGGGTGCGAACTATAGTCCAGAAAATACAATACTTTGGTCACGTCTGAGGAAATCATCATACGTAGAGTAATTTCGTTGGCTGGTAAATCTTGCCGTACTTGTTTGTGTACTCGGTGATGGAAGCGGCATTTGACCTTTGGCAACAGGTCTTGCGGCAGGCAAAATATTGATTTGGAGCAGCCACCAACGCTTTGGAGCAGATGCCAACCTCTGAACACAGCACTGATGCTGATTTGAATTTCGGGCAAAGTTCCAACAAGTTTGCAGGCAAAAAAAAAAAAAAAGACTGCATTGTTAATTTAGTTTATATCTGAAAATGACTGAGGTATACCTATTACTTATTACCATTTGTAAAAAAGACACATACGAGGCAAACTGAACACACAGGACTTCTTTTTAGAAAAAAGCTCAGGTCAGAGTAGTTTGCATTTACAGTGGGTATTAAAAAAATGTTTGAAAAATAAATAATATTGCTACATTTCAGTTGACATAAATCTTCTCTCCCCTTCCCATTTTACACTCTGTAGTTTATTTCGTCGATAATTATAGCTTCTGCAAAAAGCCGGCAGAAAGCAGCACATCTGCCAAAAACATCAATTTAGGAATCTACCAATCTCAAGATTTTAATATCATAAACTGCGAAAAAAACAGCTACCCCCAACTATTATGAAAACCTACAGCTGCGCTTTAAAAGTGACACTGCGCTTTAGCGGAGAGTCGCTGGGGTGCCTGTGACGGAGCGCCAGAGCCACAGCCAGAGTTTGCTGCCCTTTCGATTGACTGCTGCAAGAGAACTACATCGACCACCGTATTTATTCAAATATATATCTGCATTTTTTTTAAGTTTCTCAGCACACCTCCTTAAAGTCAAAGATTAACCTATAACGGAGACAAAGAAAGGCTGACCTGTAGTAATACAAAGCACCATCTCCAAGTCCCCCAAACTAACCCAGCCACTCCTCGTAGCACACCAGTGCAAAGCGGTGAAGCTTGATGGGCATGTGTAGGGCGGTGAAAGTTGATGTGAATGGCACAAGTGCCACTGTGCACTGTAGCCACGGCGTGGAGTCACGTGGCAGACATGATACTCAAATCAGGAGTAAACCATTCCAGTTTTGTCCTATCACGGTTGTCGTTATCCCACTGTTTTGCAAATTTTCTCGCGACTTTTGGCTTCTGACATTGCCGACATGTTTGGAAGTTTAGACGACGACGTCACCAGCGCAAGACAGAGCACGGCCGATGCTACAAGCCGATGGGACCGATCAAACAGAGTCAAAAGTGTGACATCGTGGCATTCGTCATCTTCCTGTACGTGTTGTTTCGTCAACTAGACCAACCAAGCGCAGCGGGTTCACCATGACGGGCGCCTTCAGTGTGTCGCTATGTGTGTTCAAGCCTTCAACCATGCTGATCCGACCTAAGATGCATCAAAGTATACGGTGAAATAGAGACACTGTGAAATACATACTTGTACCATCTTCCGTTCAACCTTGGCAAAATGCTTAGCAAAAATGGCACTTTGGAGCGAGATGTAGCCGAGTCTCCTTGAAGCAATTGGGCGCAAATGGTGCAGCACTTCCATCACTGTGTGTTGAGGCTCATCTACTGCGACTTCGAACGACGAAGCCATTAGTTGCCATTATGATCCCGCGATTCCTTATGCCAGCTAATGAGCAAGCTGTCACCCGTGAAGTACCCCTACCGCATCGGTGACCCTATTGCAATGGCCACCAGGGTTTGAGATGCACCGAATCAACGAAATTTGGCTAAATTTGGCAGGCGAGACACTGCCCGCCGAACGTAGCGAATGGTGCTATGTTATCAGCATGACGGCGGTCGCGCTACGACGTCAGCGTGATTACACCACCAGAGGTGGTGACATGACCACTGTCTGCTAAGTTTAAAGGATAGAGGACGCTTTTTCGCAACACTGGACAGCACCTGGTCCTTCCCTATAAGAAATTCTATTACAAATAGGGTTGCACCGCCTCTCAAAAACGTTTTGCAAACACCCATGGTTTCAATAGACTGTTTCCATAAATCCCTGCATGCAACACTGTGCACGTTGCACTCTGGGAACTAACTGGCCAGGCAAGAAAGTGGCATTGTTTCGGTTTCGATCGACACGTCAACAAAAGATCACACACAAAGCGTGGACTATTAAAAGCCATTGTCTCGTGTTTCCTAGTCCCAAGCGCATCGTTTTTGGTCTCTAAACTGACCTAAATGGCTAGACCTCGAAGCTTTAGAACAAGCCCGAACCATACATAAAATATGTCTTGACACATGCTTGTTATATTTTTGTGCTCGAGCCTTTCTGTTAGCCTTTTAAGGTATGTGGACGAGCCAGTGCTGGGAATCTCGACGCTGCTAAGCTCGGGGATCTTGAGTAACAATCAATAAGTATGCGTACACCGAGCTCGCACCTTCACATTGGTGTTGATGGTCAGCAAGTTTGTTACTTATCTTGCGCGTCCATGACGAAATTACCTTTTTGCAATTACTGTTTTTCTTAATACGCCTGAGCATGCGAGCTGAAACTCTGAGACGCCAGTGAAAAGCTAAAATTGAACACACTTCTTATTCTCTTACCTGTACTGGCCCGCGACACTGCACGAAGTGAAGTCCCCACCCGCTTGCATTTTACTAATTCAATATCACGTATGTGCATCAAGTTATCCTGGAATCATATGGGCACATTCGCACATACAAAAAGTTTTTAAGAAAGCCACCGTCAAGCACTTGCGTGAAGAATGTAGCACCTTTTGCTGGACGGCATGTATACGGGCATGAAACCCTATGTGGTGCGCCAAACGAGCTAAAAGATTCAAAGTGTATTTGGCCGTTACTAATGGCCATAAGATTTATTATGTGTCTGTTTTCTTCCTGACTGAGTATGCCGAGATAATATCAGACACAGATCTTGGACGTCGTAAAAGATTGTCCAAAAAGGCTTAGCGAGGAGTAGGGGACGCTTGTTGGGGCCTTTGCTGTAGCTAGCCAATTTCATCGTTTGCGAAAACTTAATCTCCAATCAGCATAAAATTTGAGTGGGAGATATACGATGACACGAGGAAGACTTCATAGTAACTTTTGTGCCCTAGTAAGGTCGAATTTATTGCTTAAAAGTTCATGCGCCCACATTGGCTCCACTTTGAGGCTCTTAGTGAGGATGCGGCCCGTTTCTTGCCCAATGAAGTAACAAGAAGCGGACGTCTGGCAAACAAAATATCTGTAGGGCTCAGAGTGATCAAAATTCTATTGTGGTTCACCGGTTTTTTAGACAGGATTATTAAAATTGAGCTCAAAGATACAACCGTGGGGTGAGGTGACTAAGCCATGTCTTACTACGTTTGCATAATCACGCACAATATCCGGCATGTTGGGAACCAAGAAAAGTGCCTCGGTATTGCACATTCGTGCGCAGTCAAATAATCGAAAATGCAAGCAGCGCATTCGGTAAAGGCGCAATAGCACGAACCGAAGCTGCTTAATCGAAACCGAAACTGAGCAGCCAACTACAGTTCCCAAAGTGCACCGTGTGGCATTTCACCGCAATGGGGCACTTCGAATTTTAGAACAAGTCTATTGTGTCTAGCTGCCAACTATCTCTTATTGTGTGCTTTAGTTAAAGCTAAAAGGTTCGAGCAATAAACAGAAAAACACAAGAAGTACAAAAACATTACGACAAAACCAATACTGTAGAAATCCCATAAAACACAAGATGTTTTCAAAGTTTTGACCTTGTTCAAAACTTGGAAATTTATGCCAGCCTCGCACCGCTGAGCTTTCCGCCAGTCAACCGACAAAAATAAGGAGTGCCTCACCGGCTGGCCGAGTGAATGACGATGGGTTTCTTTGGGTACACGCATGTGTTGACCTGAAATGACATCGCTTGTTCTAAACCCAGGCTCGAACAAATAATATGCGATGATCGAGCAGGATCAGGGGCATGCGTCACTAACCATTGCCTGCTTCCAGCGCCACATGTCGCTTCGTGCCAGATAGTGGTCCTTGAAAATGAGCTCCACCGAGTCCAAAGCCACAACCTGCAGGTGGAGACATGGTATGCAGACAAGGCGGAGATCCAAAATTGTTGTCTGGGACACCAATATCCAAAGAGGAAAAGTAGGCCATTATACAGTGGAATCTCGTTAACTTGGACCCGAGGGGGACCAGCACTTTGTTTGAATAATGCAAAGTTTGAATAACCAGGAGTTTCCTTCCTAGTAACACATAGGACGGGACCTGCATGTTCGTTCGAATTACGCGCGAGTTTGAATTAAGAGGGTTTGAATTATTGAGATTCCACTGTAGTCACTGGCACCATAAAGGGGAGAGCTCCGGCATCAATTTCAATGTTTTTAACTAGTAAACATATTTCCTGAAAGAGCACAGAAAAATGAGCCTAGAGCAGCAAATACATTTCTTCGAAAGTCCATAAATCGTTTTTAATTGTATAGGAACATGAAAAAAAACTAAACCGAAACTAACTTGCAACTTTACTGGTCCACCATCTTGTCGCGACGTGAGACGTTACATAAACATCAGCAAAGGGTTACAGTAACCGTGTGCTGGTGTTTATAGAACGTCTGACGTCATTCAAGCCCTACTCGAGCCTGCTTTGCTCGGCGTCAGAAGTGGCCAGGATGCCGTCGCGATTGCCCGCCGGAAATAATGAACTACAATTCATCAAGCTCGTCACAGCCATATAATGACTAGCAAATGTTTCAAGATTTTCAGCGCGAGATGTCACGCCATTTTCCATTTGCATTTAATCTGCCAGCGTCACCTCCGCAGGGACCACCTGTGGCATTGGCATTCGCGATGTGCCGACGTGGAGACCCAGATGCCACTTCAGAAGCAGAATGGTATGGAAGGTTCTGTTTTGCTAGCACAGCGCAACCTGTTTTCTAGATCTATGCAAACGCTGGGAGTTGGCATTTGCGTCGGACTGCATCTCTCTTGTATCAAAACATGTCTTGCATGTATCGTCTCAAACTTCCGCCAACGCTCGGACATTGAGCGAGTCTTTCCGCGGCGCCGTTTTTGTTTTTCATTCCTGCAAGCGCCGCCCGAGCAAGCGCTGCGACAAAGGGCCCCCTGCTCGCAAGAAACGTCTCTACATGCTTTCACGAGAAAACACGACAGTCCAGAAACAAAGGGCAAAGGGCACGGAAAACGAGGGTAAGAGGGGAGGAAGCAGACGGACTGCCAGAGAGCAGAGGAGTGTGTAGTTTTTGTTTACATGTTTTTCGCCTCCTCCAAAGAAAAAGACCCAATGATGCTTCTTCCTTTCCTCAAACTTCCTTCCTTTCATCTTCCTCCACCCCCTCCCCCACCCTTGGGAAAATAGGAAATTCTCCACGTATGTTCTGACATGTTAGAAAATGTGTTGAAATAGTGGAAGCTAGAACAAGTCCAAGCGGCCTTGATAAGAAGCACATACACGTGGTTCCAGACTGTATCAATAAGTTCTCTTTTAGGGAAAAGAAACAAAAGTGTATACAACATTGCAAACCACATACGCAACAAGTGACTCTTTCAAATAGTGGAACAGTAAAAGTGCCAGGCAGAAGACTAGGGATAATGAACCAACCTTTGGATTAACCACATTGACAATGACATCAGAATAGGGCTTCAGTTGGAAGGTAGTAGCAAGGCTTTGCTCTACACTGATAGAGTCTGAAACAGCAATGCAGCATTTGTGAGTTTTCACTGGTCAATCCTGCTGTAACTGCCATGATAGCAGACTTGTCACATAGTTTTATTTATTTATTTATTTATGAATACTGTTCACCCCAAGTATGGGGCTTTAACAGGTGTGGGGTATAGAAGAGCACTGAAACATACAACATCAGGACTACAATACAGTACACATTCAGCGACATTCACTTAAAATAAAGGGGCTGAAATAGCACAAACATTCAATATATTATATAGCACTCAACAAAATGAATTCTCAGCACTCGAAATCTTTAACAAAATTTCTAAAAAAATATTTAACTACTATTTATCATTCCAAACCAGTCATATTCAAAAGGGCGCTCTCAAAACCATCTAAACAGTCCAATGACAATATATTTTGTGGGAGATCATTCCAGTTTTTTACAGTTTTAGGGGAAAAAGAAAACCTATAAGCGTCAATATTACATTTGGGCACTTCAAACTGATTAGCGCTAACGTATCTGAGTTCTCTCGATGCGCGATGTGTTAATCTAGAATCCGGGTTAATGTTATACAGGTGAATACTCCCCTGAATTTTCTGCATCTCAAACACTTTTATAGAACGAAATGCTTTTGAAAAGAACCCCGGTCATGAAATTTTGGCCCTCAATCAGCCCGTCCACGTATTTCCCGCTAAATTTAGCAGGGAAACTAAATTGGTGCTCAGGTCACGCAACGTCAACTGATGTCACGTGACCCGACATCACGTAATGTATACAGCAATTCAGCTCCCCTGCTAAATGTAGCGGGAAAATTGACTTAACGTGACCTGTACTACCTGTACACCTATTCACTTTCCCCGCTAAATTTGGAGAGAAATTTAATGCCACGTGACCTATGCACACAGTTTTCCCGCTCCATGTAGGTATTACCAGAGAAATTCATAAAAATAAAGGTCCTTCTTCACTCCCTGCACTGACGGTGTAAAGTCTTCTGAACAGTTTTAAACGACTGCACCTTAGATGTTGTATTTCATGCATTGTAGAACTTTGGAGATAAAGGTGGCTGCCAATTTTTGGGAGTAACTTATCATCTTAGGCATCCTTTCACCAGTCGTTATTTAAAGTCGGTGACAGTATAAGAACTTTGTAGGTGCTCCAGCTTCAGCGCGACCTTTCTGACTTCAATAAAACTCGTCGCACGTGCAGATAAAGCCCGGCTCAAGGCAACGAGCACGTGCAGGAGGCAAAGCATCTACTGAGTTCTGAAAAATACTTGCAAATTTTTCTATAGAAGAAAGAAACATTTTTCTTTTGCAATTTTTACGCTGTTGGACACAATTTAGGGGGAGGTTAGCCCTGCTCTAGGCCCCCGCCCATAATGAAAGGTTTCTTAGCTAGCTAAGCACCGTTTCTCAGCTCTCGTCGGTTGGAGAGAGGATTGATGCGTGAAATGTTCATGGTAAAATTGTTTCTCCGTGCCCTAAAAGGGCAATACTTTTATTCACAATATACATATCTTTTAGAAACAAATAATCTAGATAGAGTGATTATAATTTCCAAAAATATCCCGAGATAGCCTTTTCCGAAGAAGGGAAGGACGGTACCACGACTGCGGCAACAAAAAGAAAAGGAAATTTATCAACATGCACACCACGAAATGTGGTCTTGCTAACGTATTTAGTATCCTGTGCAGTTCAAAAGCCTATTAATACACCTTCAAATTGAGTAGCGGCAATTAAGCTAGAATAATTTTTGCTGCCTGTGATATTTTTTTTTTTTTTTTAATTTTAATGCCAAACATTTTATTAAAAGTGTCTATGTTGAAAACATAAAAATCAATTGCAGCAGACCCTATCGCATCCAAAGGAAAGAACAGTAAATTTTATGTTGGCTTACTGTTTCCTGCTGATGCTTAATTTTACCAACGTGCTCCTACACAAATTTAGGACATCATGTTTTTTTTGTTTTTTTTTTACCACTGTGAGTTGTAGGCTTTTTGCCTCGTGTGGCTGCCTTCACTAAAAAAAAGCTTTCTACAACAAACCTTTTGCCCTGACCAACATGATTTGAAAATAATTACAATTACTTATTTTTCAACTTTTGGCGAGCCATTTTCACTTCCAAAATTTTGCCACCAAGGGGAGAGGTGCAACAGCGCATGAGTGTCGGTTCTCCTGCAAGAACGACAATCGCTTCCAGCAGTGTCTGGATAAAAAATGGCGTACCACCGCGATTTACATGATTACCAGCGACATCCGCACTTCCCCGTGCCCCGTTGTTCGGCAGCGCCATAAGTTGCATAGTGAATTTTACGACAGTGTGAAATGCGGGACATTTTGAAGATCTTGGTATTCCTTGCGGGATGCGAGACACGAGCCCTCAATGCGGGACAGTCCTGCGAGTCGCAGGACGGGTGGACGGGTGGTCACCGTAGAGGCACAGAGCGTCGCGATAGGGAGACACTAGGCATGCGAGCGTGTTCAGACGAGCAGCCAAGCCAATCCAGTTGCAACGGGTGGGGCCACTGATTTAGGAGTGGGGCCTAGACGGACCATGTGCTCCCAGCTTTAGTGCATCTAAAAACGTAAATATTGCACAAATTTTTTTTTAAGAAATATATGTTTATATATGCTTTTCTAAAACAATTTTTTTAGCTTGTCACGGAATATGCTATTTAGCACTCCAACTTAAATACTTAATCCAAGTAATGGGGTACTCCGGCAATTGTTTTAACCTACCCCAACTAACTATATTTTCTGAATTCCCGGTCTTTACTCCTTCCAGTATGCTATTTTGTACTGCAAAATCAAACTTCAAATATACCCGCGCTCTTCAGTGCTGTGGCGTCAGTGGAAGGCAGACTTGCAGGTCGAGCGGGCAGTCCAAAAATGGACTATTCCGAGCATTTGTTTCGTGCTGGTGGAGCGAGCTTTCAAAGCATTCATTTGACATTGTGAAACTGCTTGTAATCAGTTGGGAGCAAGGTCTACAGTGACATCACTTTTTCATTGTTGCCAGAAGAGACTTTCACTTTAAAAAAACATGCTGAGGACGAAAATAGTAAATTCAAAAACTTTGCAAAAAATGTATTTTCGCACAATATATGGCTGAATATATCAGCGATGTTTGTTGGTGTGTTCAGAGATTTTTCAGGCAAGTCGGGGACTATGAAAAAAACGCCAAAGTCCCCCTTTAAGTCACCTCCACCTTTTCGAGAAGGAGGATGCTTGGAAAAAACCTTCAAGTGTTTTGACTAAGAGCTTTAGAATTGCAAGGGGACCTTATCTCCGATTTTATGAAATATCTTCATCATCCTGTGGAGAAGAAAAAAAGCAGTATATAAAGTGCCACAAGGAATCTGAGAATGTATGTCTCCTGGCACAGCATGAAAACAGCAGGGGAGATCTTTTCGCTATTTATTTGTAATTATGCAAAAAGCAAGAACCTTTGCATTTCGATTTAAAATGAGGTATATATAGTTTATGTCCTCAAATTCCAAAATATGAAAGCATACTACTGAATGCAAAGGATATGTTAGAGCGGGTGGACATGTGTGTCACAGTAAGAGACAAAGACACCTGCAAGAGACCAGTAAGGAAACCTTCCACGCCTAGTTGAGAGGGGTTGACAGACGAGTGTGTCAATCAACTGACCACTGATAAATGAGTGTATCCCAGTTCAACCAGCTGCTGAACGAGTGTATCAATAAACAGTTGTCAATCAACCAACTTCTGATTGCTATAATGTAAAGGTCCTTTAAAAAAAAATTTTTTTTTTTTTTATCATTTATTGGCTGTGGTTAGGGTTTTGGCGAGACTGATCAATATTCACCAGTAGAGTTCCGTCCAGATGTAACTCTAGTTCCGTTGAGACAGAACCAATAGTCACCACTAGAGTTCTATCCAAACGGAAAGTTAGCGAACCCTGTAGAGTTCCATCCAGGTGGAACTATAGTCGCCGCTAAAGTTCTGTCCAGACGGAAGAGAAACGCGCCACTGAAGCTCCGTCCAGCATACACCAGGGTTGATCCCTATGCTCCACCCCTGACCCATTTCCGGATTAACAACTGGCAATGTTCCTATGTTATTTTCAATGTAGTCTTCTTTGTGTCAAATGCATTTGTCCCAACAATCCTATAACATTTCTACAGCTTCCTGAAAAAAGGTTTGTCCAATCTCTGCAAACAACACATCCCCCAGCCTCTATTAGCTCATATATGCATTAAAAATCTCCTCTCATGCACATGTTTCCTTCATTTTTTTTACAGTGGAGCTGTTAAGGGCTAGGTTCCCCAGGATTGTGTCCGGTATCAAACGCCTGTCGACACAAACCGACCTGGACAGCCACCGCCTTCTATAAGCGACGGCGGCAAGCACACAACCAGTCTGGTTTCCACCGTCGCTCGTAGATGGCGGCAACTTTTTCAGCTATCATAGAGGAATGGATAGTTGGGCGTGTTGGCGGGAATTCATCGTAGGAAACAGCGCGAAAAACAGACGACAAAGAAGAAGCACACGTAACGAGCGCAACGCTCGTCACGTGTGTTACTTCGTCCTCGTCTGTTTTGCTCGCTGTTTCCTGCGCTCTTATCAGTTTCGGTTTGGACTTAGGATGGGTCGGCCGCGCGCTCTTTCTGGGAAAGAAGGCTGGCTGCGGAAGGAGCGGCGACGTACGCAGCAGCGCGAATGGGTCTGCAACCGCCGCAAAGCCGCTGTCGCCTTGACTTCCACTGCGTCGAGCGCCTCAGATTCCCTTGCCATAGAAGAGCACATCGCTCGCCTGGAAAGCCTCCGCTGAGAACAGAACCAGCGATGTAAAAGGCGCCGGCGAGCCAACGCCACGGAGGCCAAGCGCAAGCGCGAGGCCCGGCGACGACTGCACTCCACGCCGGCTGAACAGTTCCCGGGCGCGACGGTAAGGTTCCGGAGGGAGTTCGTGGATTACCCGTTTGGCGTCACGTGCACCGTTTGCCAAAGACGTATCCACGATCGGCGGTGTGTCGTACGAGAAGAAGCAAGAAACGGGCACATGCGCGTTGCGGCAGTGCATCGAGTCCAGGTCCGCTGGTCTTCCTTCTTCACGAGAGTGGAAAGGCTGAACGTTTTTAAGAGTCTCTAGTCACCGCGAGCCAGATACGGTGGATATGGTAGATATAATTTCCAAAGCTTTACTCAGGAATGGCAACCACTGCAACGCAAGACCTGGGGCTGGATGCATTGTCATAATGAAGGGGCAGTCCCTGTCTCAACTTTCCACAGCATTTCTCCTTTATTGTGGCGCATCATTTTGTAGTTAGGTCCGCATAGTAAGAACCCGGTATCACCTTGTAAATAACCATAAAAAAAGACATCCTTGCCATCCCAAAAAGTTGTCCGAGAACTTGTTATAGACCCCTTTCGAAAGTGTGCTCTCTGTTGGAAGCTGCAGAATCCTTGCAAAATGGTGGACACAAGTGCGAGCTTCTAGTGTTCTACCGTGCACCGGCTGCTTGAGCACAAGTCAAGGGAAAATATTTTTTATTGGACCCTTGGGACAGAACCGACAGGACTCACAAGCTTCCTGTCATTCCATCTAGACATAACTCTACTGGGCCTGCTATCGTTCCGTCCAGACGGAACTCTGCTGCACCTGTTATCGTTCCGTCTATAGTCGCTTTCACCTCGAGAACCGGAGTAAAAGAAAGTCCGGGTCCTCGCGGGGCATTACTAATTTTCCCCTTTATGTAGAGGATGAAGAAATTAGTAGTTGCATTCTAGATTAGATATACGTTATCTTACCAAGACATTCATGTTTCAAATGCCAAAAGCGTTGTTTCTTCCTCCGACAACCAAATCTCAATAGAACTACTTCGCACGACGTACGAACAATGCGCGAAACTTCCTATTTTTCTAGAGGTAAAAATGAGACGCGCCATTATTTATTACCGCAAAATCCCGAGCAAGCACACCCACACAAAATTTGGAGATAATCATTTGAAACTGGAAGATAGGCACTCCTTAGGTCAACAATATGTAAAGATACGTCATTTGTGTATTTTCCGAATGTTCCGAATGTTACAAAATTTAATGGTGGATTGTGGAGTGGCCGGCACGGTATTTTACGGCACATATTTACTTGTGTCCAGAAACAGGCATAGCTACTCCCAAAAGTTCTTCTTTTTCTGCTTCACACATTAAAACATTTTAAAAAAAAGGGAAAGGAAAGCACCTTTCTGGAGGTCTTCTTTCAGTGTTGTAACTTGGAGCAATAAGCGACTGAAAGAGAAACCAAGTAGAATTAATGACGGGCATTGATAAGGGCTCAGAGATCTGAAAAACCCAGTGTTGGGAAGTGCTTTAAGTACATTGTACTTAATTAAAGTACTACTTCAAGTAGGTTTAGGAAACTTGTACTTTACTTGAAGTACATTCTCCGAGTATGTACTTGTACTTTACTTAAGTATTTTTTTCTGGTACTTTCTGAGGAAAGTACAATTCCCAACTTCAAAGTACATTCCCCAAATTTGATTTTGTTAAATTTGTATGCCAAAATTATGCTTTGTCAGCTCCGAAGAAATAATGAGAGGGATATTCTACTCTCACAAGAAACTTGAGCAGACGACGCATTGCTCTGTTTGTTCTGGAGGCGGCTTTCCCCATAGCTTTGTGAACTCTTGCTACTTCTCGGTCGGTCAGCGCAAGCAAGGAGGTTTAAAATATCAGGAGAGTAAAATTAATCATAATGTAGCACCTGAGACTGTAGTATGGAAAAATTTAATTTTCAAGTCGAAGTAAAAGACAACAGAAGAGAACGCGTCACAAAGTTTTGAGACATTCTCTTTTGTCTTTTCCTTCTAGTAGAAAGATACTTTTATTTTTTCACACCCCAATCTCAGGGCATCATGACAGAACAGCACACGACAAAACAGCACGTGACAAAACAGCACAACGTCAAAATAGCACGTGACAAAACAGCACAGCGTCAAAACGGCACTGCGACAGAAGAGCACATTCCAAAACAGCACGGCGTCAATACAGCACAGTGTCGAAACAGCACAGCGTCAAAACAGGACATTGACAATATAGCCAGGGTTTGGCGTTTTCGGTTTTTATTGGTTTGAAATTCGGCACACTTTTTTCGGTTTTTATTCCAAGCAGAAGTTTTCGGTTTATTGCGGAGAATGTTTGTAGACTCATAAACTTTTCAGTTCTTTTCGGTTTATGGACGAAAACCAGTACACTGACAAAAAGGCAATATTTAAAGGCATTTGTTTAAGATGAGTAGCGAGTAAACCAGGTACTGGATTTCTTATTGGTTGCTGTCTGTGGCAGCCGACGCGACCTGTTCTGCAAGACGCACTGGGGGCCTATCGTGATCTGACATTATCGTCGTGGGCTCATATATGTACACAGGACAAACACAAGCTTTACGATCACTTCCGTTGAAGAGGGAAAAATCAAAATCCAAAAATTTGCAATCACCTGCTCCCATTTTCGTGGCTGCGAGAGGTGGTTAATAGACCCTTTGCAAAACGTACAGCGCCACGACGGCAGAGAATTTTGGGAACCCTCGTTACAGATCACGCGCTTTCTCGTTGCGCCTCCGCGACTGCGCGCGCATCTTGGCAGCTACCATTAGCAGCCGTTTCAGTCATACGTTGTTGGCGGCGTACCGTATCAGTAGATCGTGACAGGTGAACTTATTTGAATACGTTATTCGTCGTAACTTACCTTCACGTATTAAAGTGTCACCGAATCCATTTAGTTTGCACCGCAACCGTGGCAGGTTTCGACCATGTTCGACAAAGCGTTGGTGCAGCAGACAACAGAGCCGGTACAAAGGAGAGGGATGAGAAAGGGGCAGCCGCCGTTGGCTCGTCGCTCGCCCGACTAGGCTGCTCAAAAATCGTTGCCGTGGTAACCTGTGCCTGCTCGCGTATGCCACGTGGTAGCGGGAGGAGGGGCGTACCGAGGACTCCCATCATTCGTCGCGCAGCGCGCGCGGGCCTTTTGGGATTTTTGCAAAGGGTCTATTTGCTCAGACTAAGAAACAACAATAAAGCAATCGTATTTATGCCCTCCTCTAGTAGATGGAAGCTAGAGGTGTTAAGAAATGTGCGGCATTTACGGATGCCCTTAATTTTCATTCTTGAGTTCACGATTAAACTCTCTTCTTTGAACAAAGAATTCGGCACACAAATTCCTATCAGGTGAAAAACCCAGATTTCGTCCTGAAGACCACTGCGCTGGTTCAACTTTTGTTGAAAGTTGAACCGATCTCGGAGACAAGGTGAAAAGTGCGAAAGGAAGTGGTCATATGGTCAGTAATGAGCCACGTTACCCCACCCACGCCTCCAAACGCCCTAGAAACTACTGACCTTTTCCAGTTAAAACCGAATTTGGAAAAAAAGATTTGATACTTTTACCGGTTTAAGCCAGAAAGGCTAAACCCTAAATACATCGCATGGAGTTAAAAAAAGGATGTCTCAAAGTAGGCACTGTAAAGGAATGAAGGGTCTAGGCCATTTCGTCAAAAGCCAACTCGTCGACGGCCAATTTGTCGAATCCGTTCTCTTGGGAGCAAGTTCGGAGTGGGGAGTATACTCAATGCATACATGAAGGCTCCCTGGGGAGTACCGATGCCCCTGCTGGTGCATATTCTGGCTATTTCTAGGGACGACTAACAAGCTAGTTTGCTTGTTAGTCGTCGTTAGTCGTTAAAAGAAAAAAAATAACGAAAGCTTGTGCTGCAACGGTGTGCTTAGCCAGTGGACCCCACCCCCCTGCTCTCCCGTGACCTGCCGCGACTCCCTCCTCCCCTTTCGCCGCTTTCGCGTGGTCCGCTGCAACTTCCCCCCCTGTGCTGTTTTGATGCCGTGCTGTTTTGGCACGTGCTCTTCTGTCGCTGTGCCGTTTTGACGCTGTGCTGTTTTGTCGCGTGCTATTTTGTCGCCGTGCTGTTTTGACGCTGTACTGTTCTGACGCGTGCTGTTTTGACCGTGCTGTTGTGTCACACGCTGTTTTGTCGTGTGCTCTTCTGTCGCATTCCCCAATCTCAGGTGTCACATTATGATTAATTATCACCAGCTCGCTTGCACACTCACTGTTTTTTTTCGTTAAACTAGGGATACTTTTCTACGGGAGGATTGCTTGAGGAAGCTACGGGGCTGACGGCATGCTCTCTTCTTGTACATTTAACCCCCTTAAGTGCAACAATCCAGTGCAAGGGGCGTCAAACTCAAAAGACGGACTTCTGTATTCGGCTCCCTTCCAGAGAATAACAAACTCTGTGGCCACTTGAGTTTATCAAATACTCCCCGCTGTTTTTTTTTGAAAATAGGTCTTGCACCCCTGATTACCCCTCGGCAATGTATACAAGTTAAAAAATCACTGTATAGGGGAATTAAAGGACATCATGAAAGATTGTATTAAAATACTTGTACCTTTAAAGTACATTGTATTTATAGTACTTTACTTCAAGTACATTGCACCCAGTGTACTCATTTACTTTGCACTTTACAAGTGCCTTTTAGATGTACTTTACCCAACACTGCAGAAAAACCACGACATCGCGGATATCATCTCGAGCTCTGTAAGCAATGTTCAAATTCTGCTGATGTTGTTTTCGCAGAATAGCAACAGGTATACTGAGGTGCCAACCTGTAAGTGTCGTCAGGCAGGTAGATTTCCACAATGTCTCCGCTCTTCAATCCCGGAAAATCTTTCGAATTGATGATAAGATCATCTGTGGGAAGAAAAAAATATTTAACAACGCACACAATCAATCAAAAAGCACTACTCGTAAAGCTTTGTTTAAATGCATTAACCAAACACTTGCGACATTAGAGTTGTCAACGCGGTAATTCCTCAAACCACAGCAAGCAAGCGTCAACAAACGTCCGAGATAACGCTGCTGCCAACAACTCACCGGTGACGCTCTTTGGATGGTGAAGTAGCTTCATTTGCTTCATCGTGACGTGCTGCTTAAAAGTGATTGAGGTATTGTAAGCAGACTATCTACACCCCGGAAAACTGCACAGTCGAAAAAGTGTCCGATTCGTGTCCATCCTTGGGAAGTTTACCAGCAGCTTTCACTTCGACCCCGAAGTGTCAGCAGTGTCGAACCCATCGTCCCCTCGGAGACCCTGGTGCCACTGGCGAGACACGAGGAAAACACTTCCCTAGATTTTTGTCTAGGGACAATCGGGCACAATGTTTTACAATGTAGGGATTTTCTGGCAGAAGTTTGTTTATCTCCGGCGAGTACGCACAAAATGCTTCTTTTGGAAGTTACTGCATCGACGTGAACGTGAGTTTTTCGACGTAATCGGAAAACTCAACCGGTAATGTTTTGCTGACACCAGTTACAGTTTTTTGACGCGATTGCTGAAACAACCTGGCGACGTTTCATTGTGCACGGTCTTTCTTCAAACGAGTTCGCAGTTGCACATGTTTTCCAAGCATCACCAACCGCAATGAGATGACTTTCTTTCACTTTTGTGGCACTGATATAAAACCGAGCTGTAGGAAAAGTGATTATAGACCAAGGGCCTTCACGGTAAAATCTGCGTACCTCAAGATGAGCGGGAAACGACGCGGTATGCTCTTGCCAACTGCGCTTTGCGCGCCCGTTTCGCCGTACTACGGACGGGTGGCAAATTGGCAATATTGATTCATCGATCATTAATCGTTAGCAAGAATAGGGACGGAAAAGGAAAAAGCGAGAGCATATCTTGAGAGACTAACAGGACTGCGGCCACTGACTGAAAGAACGGTAGGGAGGTCCTTCAGTTATCCCGCCTCCAGCGCTAAGATCGAATATCCTACCTTCATTTCCACGTAAGTGTCTCGTGAGCATCGAGCGTCGTTCTTATCCTGTCGGTGACTGTAGTGATGTTCCTACTCAAAGTAATCGTATGTATAGATCAAACTGTCAAGGGAATGTCTTGCACTTTATTGCAAATGTTGCAAAGCCGGTAAAAGTTTCGGCAGCCACCAAGGTTCTATAAAGAGATGATGCACACTTGGTTTGATGTGTTCTTGCAGGATGGCATCGAAGAAGAGAGTTCAGTTTGATGAGGCAGAGGACGAGATACTCAGTAATGCAGGAGAAGGCGACGAGGTGAAAAAGAAATTCAAGAACTCCTTGGACAGTGATGAGGAGGACGACGAGGTGGAAGACAAGAAGTACAACCTTCTCAACCCAGATGATGTGGAAGGTGGTTCTCATGTTCGAAACGTAATTTGACAGCTACACAGTATCTCGACGCTTCCTTTGTAGACTGCAGGCTGGAAACTCTTCTGCTTGAAGCAGAGATGGGAAAATTTCTTCTGCCAGGACAAGCAGACCCCCAACATTAATTTTATCTTAAAACCTCCTACGTTCATCTGCATGCAGAAGTCTAAAGTTGAGTTGCAAACTGAGACCATCATGAACACTTCCCGGTTTACTGACAGATGGTGCCAAACGTTTGCAGAAACTCTATTTAGGTTTTGTCGCACCTAGCTATTCACTATTGTGTGACAGTCAAGCATCCTTTTGCAGACAGCCTCATGAAAGCTGTCTGCCTCTGGATGGATGGTCATATTTACATTTTGAGACGAGTAAAGCTATACGAACTACGTTCGTGCACCTCGACCAGAAATGGCTATACGCACCACTTGAAACTCGTATAAAACGAATGGTTACAATGAGTTTCCGAAGCGGTGGCGTAGCTTAGTGGTAAGGTGTCTGCTTCATATGAATGCAGCGGACCCTGGTTCGATCCACAGTGTGGGCTTACTTTTTCAATTTTTTTTCTAGAACATTTTTTTTTTTTTTTTAGAGCATTTGGCGATATTTATGACATTGCTTTCTTTTTTTTTTTATATTAACACTGAAAAAAAACGAATGTTGTCAACAAACCTTCACTGAACTAAATGGTATGGGACTCCCTTTCCGGAGGTGCAGCGGAGACAGCGGTGCTTGGGTTGCTGGCTGGTTGTTGCAAAGCGGCGTGTACAAGGGGGCCAATTAGGTTAATAGTTTTGTAATTAGCAGCCGCACACTGTCGCCGCAAAGCGGCGTGAATGCAGGTGGGGGGTGGGTTAACACGCTCCCGCGCCATCTGAAAAGGGTGACCCACATGGCAGGAGCTCTCTGCGTCGTGCATATAGCCATTTCCGGTTGAGGTGCATGACGTAGTACATATAGCTTTACTTTTTTGAGACAGTGTTTGTGGATGAAACTTAAGCTTCACCTCGGACGTCTGCTCTTGCAGCCTGGAGTATTTTTCAGGACAACTCGCTCATGTTTGGTGTCTCGAGGGGGTTTACTTACCCTTAAACCGATTCCAGTCAAATGGCTGGAATCAGTTACCTGCTTGGCCCATATTGCTGACTGCATCACCTTTTGCACAATCGCAGTCACCTCAAGAAAAAAAGCAAGTCTTGTGCAGAGTTAAAATGACACAAAGTAGTTCTTACAAGATTCGGTTGTCAGAGAAACAAATGGTGCCTTTTGCTTTGGAAGCACGTATGACTTGACATGCATCTTAACTACCACATAAAAAAAATAAATTAGTAATTCTGTGTGATGAGCGGCCGTCCCTATTCGCACTCCGAGTGCGGATAGTGGTAGATTCTTATCCGCACTCCGAGTGCGGATAATTTTGGATTCTTATCCGCACTCCGAGTGCGGACTGCGTTGGATTCTTATCCGCACTCCGAGTGCGTGGGGCGAAGAACTTGGCGTGTGGCGTGGCGCGACTTGGACGCGGGAAACTTTGAACATAGTGACTTACGATGTTCGTGGTGTGACATTGGCATGTTGGCAGCACCGATTTCATAGAAATATTAGTGGTTGTGCGGTGTTTGATTGGGAGGAGACCTGTGTTTCAGAATGAATTCAATCTCAAACAAATGCATAATCGTAAACATATAATTAAAACAGCGCGAACGAACACAAGGACAAGTAGAAAAAGAGACACAGCCACAGCGCTGACTCGCGATTTACTCTGAAGACGCGAGTCAGCGCTGTGTTTGTGTCCCTTCTTCTACTTGTCCTTGTGTTCGTTTTCGCTGTTTTGATTATATGTTCACTATGCACCACCGACTAGCTCATTTCTAAACATCACTGCAAATGCATAATCGCTTTTTTTTTTTTTTCGAAATTGATTAGCGTTAGATGGTGTATTTGGCTAGAGACTGAACTGTACTCGCGCCTCGGGGGCTTGAAAAAAAAGCATGAACACAGGACTTAAGCAATCCTATTGTTCCTTCAGTATCCTTTTTTTTTTTTTTTTGTTAAACAAAATATCATTATTTGCAAAAAAAAAACAAAAAAAAACGGAAGCTGGTTTAAGATTTGCCACATTCAGCACATTAACATTGTGTGGTGGATAGGGGCAGTAATGTGGGAACGGTGGGCGGCTAGCAAACAATTTTCAATACACAATTACCCCCCCCCCCCCCCCCCCCGCCCCAGACCACACACACACACACACACGCAGAGATGTTCCAAACTTCAGCTGCCGCCACGCCCAAAACCCGCAAGCTCAGTGTTCGGCACCCTCGGCATATATGTTTAACATCTGCGATCACACAACCACACAAAAACATCTTTTAACGGCCATCACATCTATCGTCGTCTACTTGCTAAAGCGCAAATCTTTCTATTAAAAAAAATTACAGTAACAAAGGGCCGGGGACTTATCAGGCATTCCCTCATCTAGTAAGGTTGAAAGTGTTCAGAAGATTGAGCCGGGGGGGGGGGGGGAGGGCTTCATTTTTTAATAATATTGTTTACTGGAAATGATTGATTTTCTTTACCCCCTCCCCTCCCCCTTTTTCCTAAGCCACTGCCCCCATCATCTAAGCACAAGACAATACACGTCACAAATTGCACACTGCTCTAGTTTCTTTTTTCTTTCGTCAATAAAAATATTTAACCGTCCAAAAAAAAAAGTATAGCCAGAACTCTTTTTTTTTGGGGGGGGGGATTGTAAAGCTGATGTGTTTGGGAACACAAACACACGCACGCACGCACACACGCGCACGCACACGCACACGCACTTGATCGCCTCTATCCGATCTTCGAGGCGTGAGTACCGTTTAATCTGAAGCGCACCACCCAATGTTTTTTTTTTGTTTTTTTTTTTGTTTTTTTTATAAAACAAAAAACATTTCCTTGAAATTATTTTAATTCTGAAACCGGAACCGCCAATATTTTCATACGCTCGTCGAGGCTGCCAACACGCCAATGAATCAACACAAAGTTGAGAACTTCTAAACCACTGTGTTCATAGTTTCCCGCGACATAATCGCGCCACACGCGGAGTGCAGATAAAGAAAATCCAACGGCTTCGTGCCAACGTCTTCGTACCCCCGCCACCCCCGCCCCGGTGCTGCGGCTGCCCGGTGCTCCCGGTACAGCGTCCGCGCCAGTCCGCGCCTCCGCACGCAATCCGCACTCACGCACTCGGAGGCTCGGAGTGCGGATAAGAAGCCAACATAATCCGCACTCGGAGTGCGGATAAGAATCCAAAATTATTCGCACTCGGAGTGCGGATAAGAATCCACCACTATCCGCACTCGGGGTGCGAATAGGGACAGCCGTGATGAGCCAGGCTTTTGTTTTACAGCAGTTCTTGAGGTCAAAGTAGGTGTAGTTCACTGTTTATTTATTGTATAGGCTGTTTCTATTGTAAATGTAAATTCCTCACTCTCCACTGTACTGCCTCTAACCCCCAAGGGTAGAATAAATAAGTAAACCACAAATTTCAGTGAAAAAAAAAAGAAAATGAAAGACTTTTACAACTCTCTGTAACGCCGAGTTAGAGCGCAGCTCTTGAGGAGGAAAGGAGGGTACAGAGGGGACGGTAAGCCCCCCCCCTCCTCATCCGTGCCCTGTCCTCCCCCCTCTTCATCCACTCCTCCCGTGCTCCCTGCCCCCTCTTCCTCCTCCTCCTTCCTCCTCCCCCTCCTCCTCCCTCCTGCGTGGTGCAATATGGGAAACCTCCCATAATGCACCGCGGTGTTGTCAACGGTGACCGTCGTGACATCAGGAGTGACGTCACGAGGCTGACGAATGACGTCACGACGGTCCCGTGCAGTGCATTATGGGACGTTTTTTATAATGCACCGCGTGGTTATGCCGATGCCGCTCAAGCCGAAAACGGGCACCTAAGAGCTGTGCTCTAAAAAGTATTTTACTACCGAAGGGGACCGCAGCTGTTTGACATGCGTACGTAAGAGCCTTGCTTTCGTGTGGTCTTTTTTCCCCACTGTCGTGTAAATCTTGTACAGGTGCTTTGAAAACAAATAGCAACATTGCATGATAACATTTGCAGGCCAAGAAGACAAGACAATCGAATATGATGGGGACATCAAAATCACACCATTCAACATGGAAGATGAAATGGAGGAGGGCCACTTCGACAAGGACGGCATGTTCATCTTCAGCAGAGACAAGGCTGATATACGGGACAATTGGCTGGACAACATTGACTGGGTCAAGGTATGCCAACTTCTCTTTTTCCTTGCATAAAAGATGAGCGTGCCGTTAAAGCGATCCTGCAAGGACTTTTTTTACTGGATTTTAATTTGCACCGAACCTGAGCGCACTGAACGTAGTAACTTAATGCAACTTTTCTTTTCTCAAATTTTGCTTTATTTTAAAAGTTATAGGCAAATTAAAATTGCAGAAACAAACAAAAAATAACCTTCTTCATGACATCCTTGGTCGCTTGAGTGGCCGTGAACTAGAGGAGGGGTGATGAGCTCGGCGAGCGGTCACGGCTGCCGCACTCCGTGTCGACAGCTCGAGAGGGTGCCACTAAAGCATTTTTTGGCTAGGCTGTATGAAGCGGGCAGCCAGGGCGGCTCGCATTGCATTTGCTGCACGATTAAACTCTGATTCGGCATGACACTTCATTGGCCACAAACGACAGCAAACACGGGGTAAAGATCAGTTCAGAACAGGAGCCACTTTGGGCTGCCATGCAGCCAAAAGGTCAAACCGCAAGCCAAAGCTGCTCGCCGAAGGTCTTGGGAATGCTCAACACCGGTCGGATCCTCCAATCCATACGACCGCAGCGCCGCCGCGTACATCCGGGACCTTTCTACGCTCGCCGCTCGTTGGTGCCTGATCCCACTACGCCTTTCTAGCATGCGCCGTCTTTTCCACTGCTTGGTGGCAGGTATGTCGACGGGTCATTTCTTGCTTCCATACTTTTTAAACTGCATTTGTTTCTTTCCTGACCTAAAATAGTGAACAAAAACTACTTTTAGAAATGATTGAAACGGTTCACACCTCTTATATTTTGTGTTTCGGCTAAAAAGAAGCTTTTAGCGGCTCTGACCAGTAGTAAGCACAGGACCAAAGACGTCACATATCGCGCGCTTTCGCCAACGCGGGTCGCCCTCGTAGGCGGAGGAGGTTTCCGCATCGTCCGGTTAAAATATGACGCACTGATATTTAGTTACTCTCTCCGTGCCCGCTGACTTGCCCGAACCTCAAGAGACCTGGAAACAGCAAAAAAGGCAGACGCTTAAATATGATTGCAGGGCCCCTTTAAAGGTCCTTGTTGCAGACATTACATTAAAAAAATCGTCAAAATATGCCCACAAAAAAAAAAATTTTCTCACGGAGCTCTGGGGGGGGGTTATGATCCCCCAAACCCCCCCCCACGTGGGTGCGCCACTGCAGTTGCTTGCCTTTCCTTGCCCACTTGCCTGCACATCCTCCGTCATATACTACGGCCAGTTTCGTACAAGACATTTCCAGCATTTCTTTTGGCACTGCGGTCAGTACTGCATGCTTTGCAAAAGGTCTATAGGGGTTATTCACTGGCCACCATGCTACTACACGTGTTTCTGTTGAGCATGTGTTGACAGTGAGCTTTCATCAAATTTGTTTCGCACTGTCAAAGCTCTAAATCTTAGCAGATGATAAGTGGATCTACCCACAGCTTGAGCTGATGACCATATATGAATAGCTCATATAGACCTGCCAGGATAAGAAGGTGGCTGTGGCATGAAGCACATGGGAACATGTTTCCAGGATAGGACGTTGGTTTAACGTGCAAACATAATATTTCCGGTAGGTGTCCCTTTGCAAGAGATGATGCATCTGTCCACAATATTGCATCAGTATGTCAGATTCTTGTTCTGTCTGCATAATTTATGTCTTTTAAGGACTTTACAACAATGGTTTATCTAGGTTTATCTGCCGCACTTCTACTGCAGTGGCTCAAATGCAGTCTTGTTTGAAAACTGCCCTCCCCCAGCTTTCGGGCACATGCTGCTTAGCTCAAGTTATGCCGTGGTTGAAGTGCTTCCTTGTCACCTGAAGTTAACTCATGAATGTTTTCTGTATAAGTGTTATACCGGGTGTTTCACGAAAGGTGGACAAATTCGATACTGCGAAAACTATGCATTGCAGTAAAAAAAGGCTTGTGTCGTTTGGGTCCTGGATCAGGGGCCCATTTAGAAAAATTATAAAGCCCGGGATAATTAGATCGTTAATTATTTTTGCATAATTAACTTTTTAATGTTGTGTTTAAGGGCATGGTTTTAATTCGAAAATTGCTCAGCATCGTTGAAAAACACTAAATCAGCAAATTGCAGAGCGATAGAACTTAAAAGCCCGTCAAATTTGTGTGATTTTTCAGAAAGCCGTAAAATGCTGCGAGTGCCTTCTATTGTTCTGCAATTTGTTGATTTAGTGTTTTTCGATGATGCTGAACAATTTCCGAATTGAAACCATGCCCTTAAACACAACATTAAAAAAAGTTAATTACACGGAAATAATTAACAATCTCATTATTCCGGATTTTAGTAATTTTCCTAAATAGGCTCCTGGCCCAGGACTAAAACGATACAAGCCTTTTTTTCGTTGCGACGAGTAGTTTTCGCAATATCGAATTCGTCCACTTTTCGTGAAACACCCTGTATATGCCATTCATTAAGTGGGTAGGAACCGCTGAGCAGATGCGTGCAGGTCATAGATAACTGGGAGAGCGAAATTCATAGATAACAATTTTTAATGAATCATATATATTTCAAGAGCCCTCCGTTGCTCACGACAAGGTAGATGTTTGATATTTTTTATTTATTTTCAAGTGGTATTTTTTTCTTCTTAGGGTTCAAACAGTGTGATGAAAAATATGTACAAATATCAGCCACATTAGAAATGTAATGTCAAATGTACTACCATTTTTAATCTATATATTAATAACGGGAACAAATGCATATGTTTCTAAAATAATACCCTACAATAAAAGCTTTGCCTGCAGTTTCATTCGAAGCTTATTAAAATGACAAAGCAAAAACTAACAACAGATTTCACTATAAGCTCTGCGAGCTGCTGAGGAGCACTACTGGGATGTGTGACTCACATTCTTTTGGTGGTGAAGGTTCCATTCATGCAAAAATGTTCCAAAAGCCGGGATTCATGATTAAAAACAAATACCTCCGACTTGCATAACAATACCAACATTTATCAGACGTTTCGTCTCCTATACGGGAGACATCATCAGTGCGGCCTGGGATTCCATTCATCTGTTATTTTTGCCATCTTTCTAGAAGTTTTGAGTGGTTTTAGAAAAGATAAGTCTTAGGTGGATTAACCGAGGTTTCAAGTGCAGGAAATGACGAACATAGCCACGCATGTCGCCGAGCGAGTGTGTGTGTGGCCGATTAGTTACCGTGCTTGGCTTTCGCAAGGAGGCCCCAGATTCGATTTCTGGAAGCAGGCACTGCTTTTATTTACTCTTTCAATTGAGCGTTCTCCAAAGTTCGAGAACCTTGTTGTCTGATCGAGGTTCGAACGCTCTATGCGCGGAACGTTCTATGCTGAATGTTCCAGAAACCCGCGGGGGGTACAAAAGGCACTTTGTGTGGTGGTCCGAGGTCAGTCTCGCTCTTGCGCTCAATCGTGCTACTCCGCAGACCTTCGACACCTGCCGCACTACCTCTTTGTATTTTTGTTTTGGGCACAAATTTGCCCCTATTAAACGTTTAGTTTCCTACAGCACTAACCCGTCTCTCTGCCAGTCATTCGTGACAGCATTCAAAAGACCACAATACATCATGAATACATGCTCTAGTCCGACGTGCCTACATTAATCGGAAGGATCACCGAGTTAAGTTGTCTTAACACACCATCAACAGGGTCATTTTGTTTCTATCTAGAGAGTATGTACCTAGCTGCACGTCCTTGTAGCTACTTTTAGGACATTAGATATTGATTGCCAAGTTCTCCTACTATTGACCTCTCTCATAGAAACAGTATAAAAGAGATGAAGTTGGCCAGAGTCGGTAGAATTTCCCAGACTTTTGTGCCTGGTGGCCTTCATTTTTAGATGAGGTATATCTTAAAAGGCAGGTAAAGCTGTTGCAGTATTCCGTTGAACCGGTAGTGCAGCAAGCCAGTACCACTTAAAAGACAAGGTGTGCACATTATGTCATCGTTCGTGAATTCCTGACCTGCCCCAAAGCAGTAAGCACGCTGTAACCGGACAAAAGCAAGCGGCAAGGCAGCAGACATGCTCGTCTCGGCATCACCATCCGCTAGCATTGCGAGACGCTGCCAGACGCCCCAGTGGCGACGCCGACACGAGCTAGGTGGCGCTGCATGGACTTAGCGTACTCCGTTTTGCCTTACGACGGATCGCGGCGTATTTTATGAATTACCCAAGCAAATCCAGCGCCGTCAGCACGTCACGTGACTGCACTCCCCACGCGTTGCTGGACCTCTCCCAAAGTGTGCGTGTGACACTTGTACGGTGCCGTGCTGGTTTTGACGGCTCGCAGCATCCTTCGCGGCCAAACCTAAGGTGAAACGGAGTGTAGCGATGACATTAGAGGAGGAAAGGAAAGTACGCGATTTGCCTTATAGAGCAAACGCCCCCGTTCGTCAACCCTCCCCCTCGTATTGCCCAGGTGAGGCCCAGCAAGCCATCTCAGGAAAACAGCCGAGACTCCGAGGCGTCCGGGGACGCGGACAAGGTGGACGTGCTCTCCATCTACGGCGAGATGTTGGAGGTGATGCGACCGGGGGAGACGGTGCTGGCCTGCATCAAGAGACTCGGAGGGGGCAAGCGGGACTCCACCATCAACCGATGGAAGAAGAAGAAGCAGGAGGACGAGCCAGGTTCGTCTCATTCCCCCACTTTCATTTGTGGGTGGCATTCGCCGGAGGGGCGATCGGTCGCCGAGTGCGTTGACGCTCCGCGGTTGAAAGCACGGGGAGCGAAAGCTCGGGCCGCAGAACCCAGGGATCCTGGGCCCGAACCCCACCCCTGCCCATTTTGATCCGGACGAGCATCGTGTCGGCATGTGGTCATGTATCGCTACTGCGTGGTGCACGTTAAAGATCCCAGGCTAACAGTCGTGTCGTACCGATGTCTAAACATACTCTCAACACAGTTAACTTTTTTTCACTCTCCGCCTTGTTCCAGTTCGCTCTTCACGGTGCGGGCTCAGCACCAGTCTGTACATGCTGTCTACTGAGAATGTCAGTTTTAAGTGTGTGAAATGCACGCTGCAAAAGTGCCGTGGAAGCTTGCCATGTGCACAAGCTGAGCAATAACGGACTCAGCAGTGGCCACCAGCGCATGCCTCTGTAGCAAGCGGCCCATCGTTGCGCGAAAATTGTGCAACATGCAAAACTTTCCGAACGGTTTGCAAGCCGGATGCAGCTATACAACTACTGTGAAGTTCCGAAAGAACGCCCACTCAAAATGAAGAGATAAATGTGAAAAATATGGGGTGGGCTATCTTTGAGAATGCCACAGCAAAACTTTATCAAGAATTGATGATAAACACCCTAACACTGGCTTCGAACCACGTGATAGGGGGACTGATACCGCAGATCACGGACACCGCAAATTTGCATTTCACGGTGTGATAAACACGCAGGAATTTGCTATGAACTTTTGTGTCATGGGAAAGGATACCGCAGGTTGCGGACGCAGCAGATTTGCGTTTCACGGTGCGAAGGACCCGTGGAAACCCGCCAAGATCTCTCATTTTAAGGGAACGAATACCGCAAATTGCAGACGTAGCAGGTTCAAGTTTTTTGGTGCAATAAACACACAGGAACCCGCTATGTACTTGCCTGTCATGGGAACCGATGTTGCGCACGCTGATCGTGGACAGAAATCCTAGAATCCGCTAGAAACTTGTATGTTGCGGGAGCAAATACAAGTTGTACAAATACAAGATCGCAAACGCAGCAGAATCATATTTCACAATGCAATATACACGCGGGACCAACTTGCGTAAAATCAAGATCGCGCACACAGATCACGGCCGAAAACGCGGGAATCCGCTACAAACTTTATGTCACGTTAACGAATACCGCAGATTGCGGTCGCAGCGAATTCACATTTCACGGTGCAATATACATGCAGAAACCATTCGCACGTTACGGGAGCCAATATCGCGCACACAGATCGCAGACAAAAACACGGGAACTTCCTATGAACTCGCTTGTCAGACGTGCCAGTACAGCAAGTTGCGCAGCTGATACGATTCCCATCGGACGTTGCTTGACATCTGACGGGGATCCGAGGGGTTGGCAATGGTTTCGGAATTTTTATGTTACAGATATTTAACCAGAAAAACGGGATGAGCGATCTCTCGGGGACGGGCGTTCTCTCGGAACTTTACGGTACTATGGACAAAGCTTGCAGGTACAGTTGAGATGCAGATACGGGGTAGCTGTAATGTAGACATTGCATTTGGTACTTATGCAGGGCTCCACGGATGTATTCTGTTCCCTCTGCGTTTACAAGTGAAAACTAGTATTCTTGGTTTTCAACATTTATTCGTGCCACAATTCAGTACACCAATTCGGCCTTTATTTTATCGACAGAAACATGCCATTTATCAGTATTTTTAGAGCGCAGCTCTTAGGCGCCCATTCCCGGCTTGAGCGTCGTCGGCGTCGCCGTCGGCGTAATTGCGAGTAACCCTCGTAACCCTCGTGAGGGTTACACGAGGGTTACGTGGGTTAATCTCATAAGTGTTACCCTCACGAGAACCTCGAGGGTTACTAACCCTCGCAACCCTCACGAGGGTTACGAGGGTTACTAACCCTCGTAACCCTTACGAGGGTTATGAGAGTTACCCTTACGAGGGTCACGAGGGTTATGAGAGTTACCCTCACGAGAATCACGAGGGTTATGACAGTTACCCTCATGAGGGTCACGAGAGTTACCCTCACGAGGGTCATGAGAGTTGCCCTCACAAGGGGTACTAGGGTTATCCTCACGAGGGTCACGATAGTTACCCAGGTCACGTGACCCCTCCCGGGGTCACGTGACCTGGGGATACCCTCCCCCCGAGGTCACGTGACGCCCCGTTGACGTCATCGCCACTGATGACGTCACTGGCATCCGGATCGTCATCGGCATCATCACTGATGACGTCATCAGCAACGTCACTGATGACGTCATCGGCATCCGCATCGTCATTGTCATCATCACTGATGACGTCATCGGCATCGTCACGTGACCCCCAGGTCACGTGACCCCCCGGCGTCACGTGACACCCCAAGGTCATGTGATTGCCACAAGGTCACGTGCCCCCCCCCCCCTCCCCCAAGGTCACTTGACCCACCCCCCAGTACCCTTCTCTACTCCTCCTCAAGAGCTGCGCTCTAATTCGGCGTTACAGGGAGTTGTAAACGGCTTTCATTTTTTTTTATGTTATGGACTCCATAGGTACATATTTTTTTTACCTCTGGTGCTATAGGTCACAACTGACATTTCTGGCTTTTTTCATATTTGTTGCACAATTTGGTGCAATGAATTGGCATTTATTTTGTTACAATAAACATCACATTTATCCTAATTTTTTTAATTACGCATAATTCCAGCACGCAGAATCAATTTAGGGACATAAAAAACTAAAAGACACTGCAAAAGAGAAATGCTTGCACTGCATACTACAGTCGAACCCGCTTCAACGAACGTCGCTTCAACGAAATTTCCGGTTCAACGAATATGTTTCGGTTCCCTGTCGGCGGTCCATAGGAGTCAATGCATAAAAATTCTCACTACAACGTACACTGTTTCTTGCGCCATTCACTTTAACAAAATTTTACAGAAGAATTCGAAGTTTGAAAGTTTAATTTTCTGTACGAGAAACAAACTTTCGAGCACTGTGGTGCATGCTGGCAGATAAAAGGTCTACTATAAAGTTTAAATCGCGTGTTGAACAACCACAAACTGCCACTAATAACCGGAACCTGAGCGAAACGTTGACCGGGGGTGCAGGCCGCCATTACTCGATGGCGACGGCGATGAGGCTGGCCGTTCCGGCCTTCTTCCACTATTGCACCAATGTTGGTTGCACTCCAACTCTTGGCTTGATATTCCTCTGCTGCAGACTATCCAAAGCCGAAGCTCAGTCCTCTTTTTTGTTTTGGCGGTTGTCCTTTTCTCAGTACAGTATGCGGGCTTTTTGGACATGCCAAGCAAAACGCTTACTGCGTTTTGCCTGGACATGCCAAGACCTATCTGCCCTAAACACAGCTTACTGCAAGACTCAAGTTTCTCTGAGCCAAACTAGTTCTTCTGCCTCAAACCAGTCTTTCTGTGCTCCCAATATTTCCTTAAATCTACTTTGTGCTGTTCCATCCTACCGAAGTGAAGCTAGGATTAGCCGTTGCAGCACTTAGGTCAACTCCACTATGCAGAGCTGTGCATAGCTAAGGCTTTGTTTTAATTTAAAAGTGATCAAGGCACCTTGCTATGAGATGTGCAGCTTTAATTAGCTAGAAAGTGGTGCAGGTAACTGCAGGAAAATCTGCATGCAAAGAGAAAAGGGAAGGAGGCATCTGAAAGTTAACTTATGAGTTCATCATCTGCATCTGGTGTCAAGGAGGTTAAAGTTGGAAGGGGCTGGATTTGTGTGTGGAGAAGGTGTAACCAAAACACTTCGGAGCCATCTTACAAGGACAAACCCTTTCTCATTTCACTTTCGTTTGGTCTTCTCTCCCCTTCTGTTTTAAGTGATCCTATAAAAGCCTACTAGTCGCTTTGACAATGTGATGCACCGTAAAAAGGGGCTGCAAGCCTTCTGATTGGTCGTTAACGGTCACTAAAGTAGATTTCAAGTTCTTTCTATGGCAATAATTCAACCTGCGAGTCCCAAGCATCCTAAAAAAAAAATCTAAAGTAAAGATCATGCTTAACCTTTTTTCCTATTAACAAGAAAACCAAACATTGTTACATGTCCTTTTTCTAGAAAAAGGGGGCGTGTCACAACGTATGGTCGCGTCGCCACACACAATTGTCATATAGAGTTTTCTAGGATTCTTAGAAAGGGTCCATCACGAGAATTGCTTCAGTAGTTCTTGTTGAACATTTCCAAATGTGCCGGTGCAACGCAGACCACCGCACATTTTGTCTTTGGCGTAGAAGCATGGGTGTGTCAGCTCCTCTCGTCTGACCTCCCCCAATTGTGGACGTTGCAGACAGCACGGAGGAGACTGCCCGGAACAAGGAACAGCTGCTGAGGATGACGGAGCTGGCGGACCGGGTCATCTCCACGGGGGACATGGACGTGTACCAGCAGAGCTTCGAGCGGCTCTCCTTCCTCAGGCAGCCCAAGGGGGAGGGGCGGGGGGCGGCCCCTGCCGCCGCAGAGTCTCCCTCTTTCGACATGTTTGCGGAGGAGGTGGACCCCGCCAAGGTGCAGGAGCCCTCCTCGGCCAAGGAGGAGAAAAAGGGTGGGTCTCCTTTTCAATGCAAAAGCATTAACTGTCCCATGGAGAGAAACTGTTGTTGTCTGTAGCGGCAAAAGAGCACCTAAATTCCCATTGGCTGTGACGCGTCATATGGCTTTATAGCAACAACGTCATATCGTTACTAAGGAGCCGGCCAAACTGCTGGTGGCGTGGCGGAAGAGGGGGGGGGGGGGGGGGATGCAGGTATGCATTTGCCTGAAGGTAGGCCTTACGTTAGGCTTATCGTTACGCTTTGGGGTCTAACGTCGTCAACTGGTACTCGCAATGAGGGCGATGATGATGATGAGTGGACACGAGATTTCAGCACACGTTGCGCCGAGCTTCGCACTCCCGCCGCTACCTCACCCAGCGGCGCAGCGATCACCAGCGAGTCTGGGTGGTCTGCGCGGCGCACCGCCACACTCTCTGCCGGTGCTGGGCCGCTTCTGCTCCTCTCGGTGCCGAGAATGCTTTCGCATTCACAACTCCTAAGAAGTGCTTAGGTGTCCTTAATTTTACTTCACCTTCGCTTTGGTTTTTTTTTTCTCCATGAATGAACTTGGGCATAGGATTTTGCAAATATTCGAGTAGTAGTATACTGAATATGCTAGTCTATATTCACCTTGATATAAACTGCGACATTCACATTTTTCGAAGTGTTGATAGTGGCGGGTGAGCCTTGTTGGGCTCACTTCTTACTGAGCACCGGTTCACTGCGGAGAAGCAACATATGCGGAGCTCGCTTCCACGGGTGTTGTTTATCCGCATTGCATCGGTGCTCAGTAAGAAGCAATCTTAACGGGGCTAGCCCGCCGCTATCAACGCTGAAGACTAGTATTTTCTTGACTATAGCTCACGGATTATATGTGCTTGGAAGTTGAAGTTTTGCTAGGTGCAGACTGTGCGGGAATTTGTTTTTCAAGATTGTTCCTTATGACGAAACATAAATTTTGTGAATAAAAGAGTATGTTAAGTATGACTTATATATCATACAAGCTTCTTTGTGAGCTAAGAAAGCAGACATTTGTCTAGGTGTGCTGTGTATGAGAAGATTTTCAGGTCGACCAGGCGCGGACTATGCACTGGCACTATCCAAGCAAAACCTTTTTTTTTTTGACCCCAAATTTAACTTCTCGAACTACAGTCCAGAAAATATGGTACAAGTATCGCAGTCACGTGTTTAGGAGGAAAGCAGACTTTCCTCCTGACAGAAATTTTGTGCATGTTGTTATCTACACTACAGTAAAACTTTCAAAATTAAACTGGCTATTATGCGAGAGCATATGTCACGCAGGAACGTCCTGACAACCTGCACTCATTGTGTGTAATTGTTTTTTGTTTTCTTTATTTTTTTTGTTTTTGTTTTTTTCAAATTTCATATTTAAAGGTGCGATGCAACGATTTTTGTACTTTGCGCAGATACCGCTTAGAACGGACCCCTGACGTTGATGACTTATGAAACACGCGTTCGTTTTTCACCCCACGCAATAGAAGTTCCAGAAAAAAATTGAAGAAAAACAAGCAGCGTTCACCCCCTCAACTCAAAGCCAGAACAAACGGCCACGTGATCTGGAGCCGATTATATGATGCCAATGTTGATCATAGCCACGCGCTGGGGTTGGCAAAGCACAGGACACGCACTGAGTTCCAGACATTTTTATGGCTCGGCTATTGTCGTCGTGGCAGCGATTGGACACGGGCCACTACCCGAATGCTTCTCGAGCTAGTAATTATCACGAGCCCAAATCGAGTGCCCACGCAATGCTCGGGTCCAATCTATAAACCACATTCAAATATCGTCATCGGGGTGTACTGCGCTCCCACGTTACGTCATCAAATTTTGCAAAGGAGAGATTGAATGAAAATGATCGCTTTTGTCCTTGAAATTACACTGCAGCAAAGGAGTTCCTTGGCCAGTGGCGTTGCGTGCGAGTATCCTTGAGCCTCACTAGTGCCAGTAAGCTCGTGTAAAGGGTAAAACATTCCAATTGAATATCGTTGCACCGCTCCTTTAACGCTTCGAACCAATGAGAGTGTCGTATGCGTCACCCTCTTCCCCTCCTTCTCCCTTTCTCCCTGTAGCTGACAAACGAAAGACACCGCCAGGTTTAAAGGGGTCGTGAAACGATTTTTCAACTTTTTCTTTAGCTTTCCTCCTCAACTCACACATCGCGCATTGTACCCAATAGTTAAAGAAGACGGAAAGGAGGGACTGGAAGGATATTTGCATATACAGTCGAACCTCGACATAACGAACTTCAATGTAACGAAATCCTCGATTTAACGAAGTATTTTATTTTTCATAATTTCTTGCCCATAGACCCCATGTATTTTTAGTCCCTATATAACGAAGTCTATTTACTGCTATTTCAATATAACGAAGCGCCATTGCCATAGAAGGCAATAAATAAATCAACTCTAAAAAACAACTTCGCAAAAAAATTGTGGTTAAAAAAAAAAATTATGCGCAAACGCGAGCGCTGGATAGGTTACTTCACGGGGACAGGCCTTCCAACGTTCCTAGGCTGCCCGAGGATGCGGCGCCGGTAGCGCCGGCGAGGCATGCGGCAAAGCAGATTTCGCGAGGCTGGCCAGAAAATGCCGAGCAAAAAGTTAACACGGCATGACAGCATCACCACTGACATTCACTGATCATCATAGTCCACTGTACCGCGGGTAGCGCGGGAGCCAACTTCAGCGGGGGAGCGACGTGATGGCGCGACCGCGCGACCGCACGGGAGGTTTTCTCCATCTAGGAGAAGACCTAAAAGACCGATTATCGTCTTGCGAGCGTGATGTAAAGCAAAGGCGCAAGCACACTGTGGGCGCAAGGGGGCAAGTAAACTGTGCGGTCAAGAGTGCTGTGTAGGTTGGAAACATTGGCACCGCCTAAATTAAACAGCTTTATTTTTAACCGGGCGGTTCACTTACGTGCTTGCTGCCATTAGGAAACGTAAAGTTCTTTCTTTGGATGAGAAAGCAAACGTTTTGTACACCATCCTGAAGAAACTGCCGAGATCACGAGCACTCGGGAAGTGCTCGACGCAATGGACGTACTGAGGAGGTACACGGCGTTGCATGGGCAGCAAGATGCCTTGCAAGCGCTCTGGGCGCTCGAACGCCGTATGACCAGTATGACGCCGCTGCTACTGTCGGACAAGGCGCAAGCAAAACTCGCGGACTACTTTGCCCCTAAATAAATGTAATTTTCGGTGAGTTTTCATACCCGTAAAATGTTTCGGAATTTTTTTTTTTTTTTCGCATGCTAAAGCCAAATTTCGATTTAGCGAAATTTCAATGTAACGAAGTAAATTGCGAATTTTACCGACTTCGTTACATCGAGGTTCAACTGTAACAAGAAAAGCTATAAATCCCCTCAACTAGGTAAAGCTGGATTTCTCTACAAGTTTAATTGTATATTGTATGTTTTATTTACTTGCCATGCCAATGTAGGCATTGAACTTTCTGAAGGCACAGTTAGATTGAAATAAATTTATCTTAGAAGTGGAAAAAGTGAAAGATGGGGAACAACCTTCACAAGTTTAGCTGAGTTTTTGTTTAAACATGGAGCAGTAGTGAAAAACTGGGAGAAACTATTCAATATTTGATTAGAAAATATTCAGCCAAAGTCACTATTCACTTCGATTTCACTTCTAACTCAAAATCTGCTATTCACACATCCCTACTCGGGCATGCTGAGGCTCGTGGTCAGCTTTTGCGATTCTTTTCCATTCTAGTTCTGGATGGATGCTACCGGTTGCGCCCTTCGTAACGGGCGGTAGCTTGCTCCACCTTTGGGGCACCCACAAGGTTACGTTACGGAGTCGTGTGGAGACAGCACAGTTTTGGAGTTCAATGTGCAAGCTGAAACCAAGAGATGTCTTTGTTCAATTTCTTTTGATAACATGGGTGTCTCACGGGACTATTGCATACAAGAGAATATGGGACCAACTTATCGCACTGCTACTAATTGCTTTTTCATGCTAATGGATCACAATAAATGCTTCGAGCTTCCATTATGTTGGAACACGGAGTAGTCTTAGGTGCTTGTTGCAGTACTTTGTTTGTCGACTCAGATATTGGGAAGAAGGTTTAGGCACTGTTCGTTCATCGAGGCGAGCCCAAGGGGGGATCGGTGGCCGAGCGTGTTGGCACACCACAGCTCGGAAGGCTTGGAGCAAAAGGTCGTGCTGCAGAACACAGCAGTCCTGCGTTCGATCCACGGCCCTGCCCGTTTCGATCTGGATGAGCGTTGTACCGGCATGTATCGCTGCTGCGTAATGCACATTAAAGACCACGGGCCAGCGGTTGTACTACACCAGCTAAATTTCTCATCTACAGCATAAACCAGAATCCCCACACCTCAAAGGCAGACCCAACTTGTGCTGTCTTTATGGAAAAGTCGAATTTGGTTTGGAAGCAAGCCTCAGTGAGTATTCAAGGGGCGCTGGAGTCGATTCTGAGATCGTCCTTTTGTGGTGACAACTCAATCTAGACGCTCTAAGCATCCCAACAAACCCGAAACCACAACCGTGCATAGCTTATTTCCTCGTTAAAAACGTGTTGAAAGATTGTGACACAGCCTTTCTGGGAAGAATTTTCTTCCGAGTGAAGTGGTCGAGGAAGGGCGCTTGTTGGTGAATTGCAAGCAATGGCTTCGCCCCCTGTGAAAACAAGGAGTCTTATCCGAATGTGTACCTATCAGATTCTCTTCCAAACAAGTTATAATAAAATCGTATGGAATCTGCACGTATTGTAGGGCCTTCATTGGTCCTCACAATGTAGCCAACGAGAGAAAATAGTCCACGTTTTTCTATTGCCCTGAGATGAATAGGCAGTTTTGTAATATAGGACTTAGTATATGTGTGAACTAACACATTTTAAACCATACAAGATCAAAAATTACCTTTTTCAAAGATGACTTCAGTGCCCCTTCAACAGTCAACAGCACAAACCATAAATTGCGGTATTTCTGGTGCAGCCTACCTACCAAATATCCCACAAAGCTTAGTGTGCGTCGAGAATGAGGAGAAACCAGATGTTTGTTCGCTGCATTGTCAACCGCCTCCATGTTGTCTCTTACCAGCAAGGCGAGCGTGCCGGCTGAAGTTCACTTGTCGGCGCGAAGCCAGATTTGTTGGTTCCTTTGCACCAGGGTAAGCTGAAATGACCGAGCGGCAACCAGGAGACGCCAATGACTCCGCCGCGAGATGAGAAGCTTGAACTAACTTGAACTGGCGCCGGTTCAAACTTCTCATCTCGCACCAAGAGTGTCTCGCCAGTACTTTCACTTTAGCCGATTGTGCCTAGGACGCTTTAGCCGGCATCGATTACGCACTCCCAGATATGAGGAAGACAGCGCCAAGCGCAGATAGGCGATATAAACAAAATGTGGATGTGAGGCGCGTTGAAGCGCTTTCTCAATTGCGAAAGGGGAACATGTTGAGCCGTAGAGGTGTCGCACTCTTATCCGCAAGCTCTTTCTCGAGCTACTCACACTGCTCGTCTCAGGGCTTGACGACTGGTATCTCACGATTGTCTCTCGATCATTTCAGTTCATGTTCTCCTAGGCAGTGTAAACTGAAATGCTGTCCAACTGGTTTATGTTGGCTAACTCTTCAGGACAAAAGGCTGGGACTGCTCTGTTCTCATTATACGTGAACATTTAAATGTAAGGTTTTGGTAAGGCGACAGTAAGATGCCTGAAATGCAGTTTTTAATGGCGTGGCACACTTGTACTACAGAAGGCCTGTCACGCTGCTGTTTGCATTGTAAAGTGTTTCACATCAGTAAAGCATGATATGCCTTTGTGTAAAGCGCTCTTCTGAGCCATCTGAGTGGCCCTGCATTTCGTACGGAGTGTAGCAATGCATTTTACAGTCTCTAATTGTTCTTGCTAAACCCATGTAAATCCATATGTGCAGTGGAGGCCCTCCTAGTTATTCGCCTGCCTGCCTTTTATTAGCAGATAACAAAAAGGCAGAGAATGGCACAAAGAGCACTCATTTTGTGTATCTTTTATCCGGTGCACACCAACTTTGCGAAGGATTCATTAGGTAGCACTCGCAGTACCAGTGATCGCTCTTCATGTTGTCATGTTCATGTGGCAGAGTAGCACTAGGTATGATGTGTGCACTTGCTGAGACTTTGGTCTTTTTCAACCTTTGTTACATCTAGTCATACAGTAGTATTTTGTTCTAGGTGCCCTTTAGCCTTCTCTATACCTTCATGCTTAGATGCTCTCCTTTTCAAAACAAATTGAAACAACATTACCAGGTTGTTCACCAACCTGGAAAACAGTGAATTGTCAAGCATTCTCGGGAGTCTGGAAAGGTCAGAGAATTTCCACCCCAATCAACATTGGTCAGGGAAATTGAGCTTTCCTTTCTCCGAGAAACTACAGATGGTGTGCGTGGGGTGTGACACACGTCGCCTGCAACTCAGCTGGCATGCCAACACGAATTTCTGCTCGGAAGCTAGAATCTTTGTAAAACCCAAATCACATCCTCTTGAAACGCTTGCAGCACCCAGACAAACTTCTCTCCTTCTTCTCTTGCATTTGCACCAATGCATTTGCCTGGTGATATATTGAAAACAGGACCTTTATTCGCAAAGATATATGTAAAAAAAAAGTGAGGAGGCATAAGATCCGGTGCTTGGCCAATGCCCTGTTGGCCGCCAGATATACCTGTGTTTCCCACATAAAAACTGCACTTGAAACATGTTGTGTTCTTTTAGGGGTTGGTCAGGAAATTTTTACTGAATAGTAGGGGAAAACCTGGGAAAGTCTGGGAATTTGAAAACATCATTTTGGTAGGTTGATGTACCTTCATTTCTTATGCCACTCAGAGTCCACCAGCACCGGTGCCGCAACAACTGAGGGAGAGGACGAGCTGATGTGGGAGTTCAAGTGGGAAGATGCTGAGGACGCTCCGATCTACGGCCTGCACACTTCGTCTCAGATGCTGCAGTGGGTGCAGGAAGGCTACTTCCAGGATGGCGTGTGGGTGCGCAAGGCGCACGAACGGGATGCGCCTTTTTATAGCTCCAGACGCATCGACTTCGACCTTTACGTCTGATGTGTTCGTTTGCGAGAAGACAGCTCCTGCCAGTTCTCTGTCTCGGAACGAATTTTAATTTCTGTGTTTCTCGTGGGATAAGTACTCCTGGCACCTTGTAGCGTTGTTGTTGGTTACGTTGAAAGCTGCAAGTTATAGCTAAATTCAGTGGCACTTGTCATGTGGTGTGCCATTTGTGTCTGTTTCTATCGGATCTTTATCCTCAATCGTTGTCTTAGAACGGGGACACAGGCCATTCCATGAAAAAGGTAACATATGCTTGTGACATTCACCGTAGCTAATGCTGAGGTGGAAAGAGGCATTAACCATGATGTTGGGCATTATTACAGGAATGACAGCATAGTCTAATGGTAAATAGGATATAGGTATGGGAGGGGGATGGCTTAGGAGGAACATTGGCAGATGCTTCCCTTGTTATACCACCTGCTACTTGGCTTCAAAATGCCAATGGCTTAACCTTAAAGGAACTTTATATGATTACTTAAGACAAAAATATAAGATGGCTTGAGAATGTGTTGTTAAACTATCTTGTTAAATTTTATTAGACATAAAAGGAATTCAATATCTTAACCTTGAAGATTACCAATGAACATGTTTTTAAGTGTTAGCAGAAAATAAGTGCACATGCTGACCCGAGTTCTTGTTCAGTAATGTCAAGATTATTACTCATGATAGTGTCTCACATAATCCTGTTACCCTTTTTATAACACCCATGAATCTACACTTTGATTGGCAGGAGTTAAGAACAGCATCAACCTGAGTGTGGCAATCCCTAAAAGAAAGACATGCTGCAAAATAGTTATTTCATCTGCATGAGATGCATGCTCTTAAATAAATACATACAGAACTGTTCCCATATGGTTCGTGTCCTGGCTGTCAAAGACACAATGTAGGCGCACATGTACAGATAACTATATAAAACATGCTGTTGGATAACACCCAGCAAAGCTTGCAGATTGTTGGTTGATGACACAAACAAATTTAGATGTTCATGGCCTGTGAGGGCCTGCACGATTGCAGTAATATGGGCTGTCCCCGTAAAGCAACACCCACCAAAATACCTCACCCCCGCTCTGTACCACTCTGCAACATAGTTCCCCAGTTGGTCGGAGTCTTTCGGAACCAGCGTCCAAGACGCAACCTCGGCATCAGCGTAAGCTACAAGGGGCGATTGTCCCTCCTTCCGAGCATCCTTCAGAAGCAAGCCCACCATATCGGGCCGACAGCAGTTGACCCTGATGGCACAGATCTGGGATCCACTGTCCTTACCGAGGACAGCCTGGATGGCCTTCTGCAAGCACTCCCCTTTAGCGGTCAGTTTCTCGTCTTGACAGCCGAAGCTAAGCCAACCCTTGGTGCCTGGATGCTCCCTCAGAAGCTGCAGTAGAGCCAGCGCTTCCTGGAGCGCCGAGATGGTCTCAAAGGCGAGCAGATCACAGCCCAACCGAACAAGATGTTGAACTTTGAGGCGATGCCAGTCGCACAGCTCTTTGACGGACATCGTAATCTGCGTAGCTACCGGTGTACTCAGAGCTGTCGTACGGGTATGCGCCGTAAGAGCCCACGGAGCCTGCAAATGCGGATGTCGGCTGCATCGATCGGTGGCTCGGTTGCAGTAGACGTTGTCCGCGCGCTTCTCTTGCGCAGTCTTCTGGGGTAGGCTCATGCTGGTAGCGATCAGCTCTTCCGCTTCGGGAACTTCGATGCAGAAGTGCTCCTGGAGAGCCTGAACGTTCGCTTGACGCGTGCATGTGGTTAGCACACTGCAGCCGGCGTTCAGGTAGTGTTTGTAAGTTTGGTGGAGTAGAATGACAAAGCTGTGAATTGAGCAAGCTTGCACGTAAGAAACTATTACAGTGAAGCATGGGCGTACCAACCGGGGGGGCAAGGGGGGCACTTGCCCCCCCAGTTCTCAGAGTGGGGGGGGCAAGGCATGCGTTTTGCCCCCCCTGAAACGGCCGCCACTGGGCAGAGCAGACACAGGCCGGCGGCGCCCAAGGAATACCAAGGGCACTGCCCCCCGACCCGCGCGGGCATATTTTTAACGTGCAGGCGATACAAACCCTAGCAACGGTGCTCACGCACGCCGGATTGGCTGGTTCGTAAAGCCTTGCTCCACGAACAAGGCTACACGGTAACCTTACGGAATCCATCCGCGAGACATGGGCCGGACGGGCCGTCCAGACCAGGACGTAGGCCCTTACACAAAATAAAGTTTTGCTTGCTTGCTTGGAGATAGGCGCTGCCGCCGTCAACATAGACAGCGGATGCAATGCGAGTTTCCGAAGAGGTAGCGTAACTTAGTGGTGAGATGTCTGCCTCATACGTGTCAGACCCGGGTTCTATTTATGGTGTGGGCCGGCTTACTTCTTTTTATTTTTTTTCTCGAACATTTTGTTTTGTCGAGGCATTTGGCGATATTTACATTTCTTTTTTACCATTAACACTAAAAAAACTAATGTTGTTGACGAAACATCGCTAAACTAAATCGTATCGACTCTATTTACGGAAGTGCATGGGGGGCAGCGGGGCTTGGGTTGCCGACCGGACGCCGCAAAGCGGCGTGTACGGGGGGTGGGGGGGCTAGGTGGGGTGGGGGGGCTAGATTTGTAATTAGCAGCCGCACACCGTCACCGCGAAGCGGCGTGAACGCAGGCGCGGGGGTGGGTTAACGCGCTTCGAGTGATACACGAGCAGCCCATCCGGCGTGAGCGTCGTTGTTAGGGGTTCTATCGCCTGCACTGTAAAAGGAGCAGTGTGTGCACCTCCTGTAGTGGGCAAGAATTCCTACATTGGAGAGAAGCGGGGACAAGCCCTTTCTTCAAATGCGTTAAGTCTCCTTGAGCTTCGGAATACAAAGAAACGCCACTATTCGGAGCTAATCCCACAGTTACTTGACCTCTCTTGCGTCGTGTCTGTTCGCTCCCCGCGCCTCGTAGCAGTGTTGTTGCAGTGGGGGGGGCTCGTTAAAATTTTGGGGTTTTTTGGGCTATCTAAATCACTTTCTTCCTTCCCATCCCCCCCCCCCCCTTTTCTACTCCGCATGCTTCCCCCTCTGCAAATATCAGCTGACCTTCCGACCTCTGTTCTCTGTTGATTGGCAAAACAACCACTAAAATTAGAAAGTAATTTGTAATTTGAGTGGAAGTCACTCGGAAAAGTAGTTAAAGTAAACTACTGATTACTAGAATAGAAATGTAATTAAAAGTTACTAAACTACCCAGAAAAGTAGTTAAACTACAGTAACTTGAGTAAAGTAGTTGAACTACGTACAAGTCTGGCCTGGCAAGCGCTCTGCGTAAGTGTTTTCACTGATTTGCCTAGCCCCGCACACCATCACATGGGCCAAGAAAGGTGTAGTTTTACTGCAGAGGAGAAATCAGCAGGGTCCAAGATGGTGACAATGGAGAATGGGGGACTGTTCCAGTGGCTGATGGCTTTTTTTTTTTTTAGTTTTTTAGTTTATTCCAGGTTTCTTTCAAAAATACATTTTCCAGAATCGTCTCACTTAAGCACATGTGTGCTTGTGTGTGAGAACGGGCAGTCCAACTCTACAAATCTCCCTCCCCTCTCCCCCCCCCCCCCCCCTTCAAACGCATTACTGCAGGAAAAAAAAAAAGAGAAACAACAAGAATAAAACAAAAACTAAATTTCAAGAACCCGTGGGGTGTCGTACTGTGGCTCAATAATCATGAACACTTCGCGGATTGAACTTTGCGTCGTGCAATCATATCCGTTACATTCATCCCGCGTAAAAAGAAGAAACACCGCATGCAGCAGTAACCAAAAACGACAAGTAACGCTCAACACGGAAAATGTCTATCCGAGCGAAAAACAAAAAATAATGAAAAATATATACATATGTAAAAAAGATACCGTAGACGTTGCTCGTGAATTCCGATAATGAAACGCAAAAGCAACAAGAAAATATTCGAAACTAAATGTTCAACAGCAAAGTCACTACACAAAAACCAACACAAGCAGCGGCCATGAATCAGCAATAAAAAAAGAAAAAGAAGCGACAAAATTGTTTGACATGAGTGACAAGGCGAGATTGTGAATAAAATCCAAGGGCCCACTTCCAAAATCAAATCGAACAGCTTTGACACCATTTCAATATTTCTTTTTTCACAGTACTTAACGATTGCTATTCCTGCAAATTGCCAGGAAGTTGCCCTAGTAGCACGAGATGTTGCAGGAACGTTACTGCAACGTGGCTAATGTTGTGCAACGTTATGCAACGTGTAACAATGTAACGACAATATTACTAAAACCATATTGCAAAAACATTATTTCGAAACATCAACACAATGTTACACAAGTGAGATGCAACGTTACACTACTTTTACGTATGTTACTGAAATGTTGCTGCAGAAATGTTAGGGCAATATAATCCAGAAACAAAGAGCCTATGTTTCAAAGGTAACATTAAGGAGATGCATCTGTGATAACTTATAAAATGTTACAAAAACATCCCGCAACTTGAGAGGACAACACGCCTTTCTGTCTGCAGAAACATATCTCGCCTGTATTTATTTCATAAGATCCACCACCACAATGACATCCCCCTTTGTCACACCTCCACCTATTGTCAGTCATTCCCGCCTATGTCATCACTAGGCAAGAATCATCCCCCCTACTTATCGCTGGCATAGCTGATTGCACCGAATTTAAAGATGCAGTGTGATAATGAATTCGGGGTCTTGTTAACAATATTTTGATTTAGTTTTTAATGTGTTTGTTTGCAATTAGATATTTCTGTCCACTCCACTCTTTAATGTCTCAATGCCCTGAGGAAATAAACCGCTACAATATTTCTTCGTCCGCACCCGGCGTGAAGCCCACAAGGGTTAATTTTGGCTCGAAAAAAGTGTTTTTCTTATACAGTCCCAACTCGGTGTATAGTCCACAGGGGCAAATTCAAACTGAATATCTGTTTCCTTAGACGGTCCACATTATGGGGAGAGGTCCTTTTGAGCCCGCTTGTCGTGGTGAATCACAGAGCTCATGAGGATTAAGCTTGATAAACAAAGATTGCCTGGAGGCACTTAAGCTAACAGCCTGTCAACCCCAAGACATCAAAGGCCTGGACGACACACTGACAGTATGACCTGTTTCTCACTTCAGCAAAGCAAAACATATTGTAAATATTGTATTGTAAAATATCTAGAACGAAAGACACAAAATGTATTGTATCCTCTGCACCTGCAGATAGTCTGCAGAGTGAAATATTAACTTTTAGGCATGTATAGTCTGCAGACTATGGTCTGGAAACTATTGTAGTTTTGTGTGTAAAGGGCTCCATTGAATGGATGTAGCAGTTTGGTTTTACTGAAGTAATTTCTGAATTAACTAATGAATATTTAATTAAAATGGACGGAGTATGGCCTCCCAGTAATCAGAAATAGTAAACGGAATGCACAGTCTCCCCAATTGCCACTTCAGTTTTGGTAGAGCTACACCTGCATGCAGCACGAGCAAGCTCAAAAGCTTTCAAATGGCCCCAGTGAGCAAGCGCCCACGAAGCAGGATGCATGCACCACGTGCCCTTTCGCTCACTCATGTCCAAAGGGCCGTCTCACGCTGCAAAGCTGCGGTCTAGTGGCTGTAGCCTTCGCTGCACCTTATTTAAGGGTCAATGGAGTGTATAGTTGTGCAGGAATATTTTTCACCATTGTTTTTGTTTCTGTAATTGTAACTGCGATTGTAATTTATTTGCACACGGATTTGACGTGTATGCGACGACGTGCAAGGCTAGACAAGAAGGTGATAACCCTTATGCATATGCGCCTACTAGCAGGCCGCCCCCTACAGTGCAGGAGACAGGAGAAAGGGGACTCAGTAGGGTAAAACAAAACAAGCACACACAGCAACAAGAAAAATAATGGTGCAAGTCACTGGTCGTCACGAGCTCAAAGCCAGTTGGCGAGAGAAGAGCTAGCAGTGGCGGGTGGTCCTCCCACGGAGAGGCTCAGGCTGCCCAGTTCTTTTGCTTGTCCGCACTGCGGAGTACAACGAGATCCCGGAAAGCGGTCCATCGAGCATCCGGCACAGTGCGCGCATCCGTGAGGCCCGTCGCCTCTCGTGGGGGGTCGCCGACCAAGGGCACCCACACCAGGCGTGCATCGTACGAGCCGTCCGCTGTGCCACAGATGATCCGTGTCGCACGGCGCTGCACACTTTCGAGCCGTTCCCAGAGGTGCTGCTGGGGCGCGGACCAGGTCGCCGAGCAATACTCCAGTCCAAAATGAGAAGTACGAGGGCCGTGTAGAGCGCTCGCAGAGCTTCCGTTCTACAGTTTCGTCACCCGCGATATGAACTCACACATCTGAAGCGCCTATCAAAGAGTATGCACAGATGTAGCACTCGTAAACCTGAGTTTTTAAACTTCTGATGATGAAAAGCTTGTACGCGGATCACTTCGTCTGCTCTCAATCGGTGTCATCGGAAAAACGCTTAGGAAGAACGGGAAAACACGGCTGCCATTTTGACTACGCTGCCTGGATGGATAGATAAATACCCATTGTAACGAGTAGTAACGAGCGGTAGCTTGCGTCACCTAGCGACGTCGACCAATGTTCACCAACACAACCAAACTTTATTATCGACTAAAGTGCTAAAGTGATTAAAAACAATTTTATAATTAAAAAAATTATACGTGTTATTTGGTACTATATACAATAAAATTATTTATTTTGTTCATTAATAAAATGATCGAAAGCGGGGCCATTCTGGACTCTATCGGGCTCTAGGCCTTTCGTCTCTAGCCATAGCCAGAAGAGCACTTTTCTTTTGTTTGCGCAGCCGTTAGTGTTCCCGCGCAAGGCCGAGGCTTTTGAAAGCGCTATCCGCACCATCGTCACCATCGCCCTATCGTTCAATCGCCGTTCTCCCTGCAAATAACACAAAACAAGGTACGTGGTATTTTGTTACTTGTTATTGTGGAGAATGGAGCGCGTTAAGCGTTCGCTGTCGGAGTTGTCCGATCGCCAGAAAAGAAAAATCGCGCAAAACGCTCAGAGGGAACTAGAAAGGTACCGCAAAGAAGATCCCGTGGACTCCAGCACCGATGAAGACGTTTGCGCTCCTCCGGTGACGACAGAAGGTGAGGCAACCGAAAGCTTGATTGAGGTCAGAAGTCAACAAGGCTCCGAAGTTACTTCAAACGAAGACGATGACGTTTCCCTGATAGATCCTGTGGACTCTAGCACAGATGAAGATGTTTGCGCTCTTCCGGTGGCGGCAGAAGCCGAGGCAACAGAAAGTTTGATTGAAGTCCAAAGTCAACGAGGCTCCGAATTTACTTCCGAAGGAGACGATGATATTTCCTTGAATGACCTAGACTACCAGTTGTACTGCACTGGCTAAATATCTCATCTATAGCGTAGACGTATGCGTATCATTTGAATGGCTGATCAACATCACGCTGTCTAAATATCCACAACCCATTTTTTTTTTTTTTTGCAAGCTTTTAAGATTTGAGCATACAGAATGTTTTTTCTTATTTTTTTACAAAATCTTTTAAAAATAAGAGCTGATAGCTACGTGAATGCCGCTTCACTGTATGTTTCTGGGGCTCGGCGTACATTAGGTGAGGAGATAAATGTCAAAGTATGTTCACTAATTAACAAAAACTGATAATTAACTTTTTATTTGATGGCTTAATTGGCCATGTTGCAATTACAGTTTTAAAGGAAGCAATCAATAAAGCCCATCCCAATGGAGGTAATTTGCGAAAAGACAATGAGCTTTGTGATACTCGTCGTTAAAATTTTGCCGTTCTTCGCTTGATTCAAAACGCGCACCTGATTATGCTTGGTAGAAGAGTGACATAGCCACTTCTGTCCATCTGTCACAATCTCAGAAGAGTGACGCCGGCGCGTCTATGAAAGGCACGCTGTAGAGATAGTGACGATGAACCAGAAACAAATCCTTCACTATTCTACCAATCCTAACCAGGCGCGCCATTCAGCACGCGGTTTTTAATCCAGCGAAGAAAGGCAAAATTTCAACAATAAATATCTTAATGTTTTTTTTTTTTGCAAACTGTATAAATTGGGTTAGCCTTTACTAATGGCTCCCTTTAAAACTGCAATTGCAACGTGGCCCATTAAACCGTTTATGAAAAATTTAATTAACAGAATTTTGTTAGCCGACATACTGTGACATTTATCCCCTCATAGAATGCCCTCCAAGCCCCACAAACATATACTGAAGGCGAATCCACGTAGCTATCAGCTTTTTTTTTTTTTTTTCAATTCCGTAAAGAATTAAAGAAACGCCCTGTATAGCTTCACTCTTTAATATGCTTTTTGCAGGAGGGCACTGCTTTTGCCTAGAGGTGACTTTGTAGAAAGAGGCAAGCACTTTTTTTACTCTTATTATGTTTATAGTCAGCTTCTTTCACTCTGACTTTCCCTTTTATAACTACTTTCCAGGCATTGAGTGACCTTTGATGTGGAAATTATGTTCCTTAATATGTCAGTTTGTTTTGCTGACTTTGACTGCACTTTAGAAACAGTACTGAGAAAAGTGAGTGTTTATTTCGTTAATGTCATTACCAAGCAACATGAAGCCTGCCATGTGCACAGCTTTTTTTAGGTTAGGGGGTGGGGACCCATGCAATTTATTGATCACAATAATTATGACGTTTATGTTATTGACAGAGGACAAGCAGGACATTTGCCTGTCTCATTGAGGTTTCCGAAAATAAGTTTTTGACTTCGGGGAGTAATCTACAGCTAATAATGACACTTGGTGTAGAGAAAGGGTGACACTGCGCTCAAGATGGCGATAAGGGACTGTGTGCCCTCTAGTTTTATGTAACTGTTCCTCTTCCTTCTCTGTTCATTAATATGACATATGTTTGTTTTATGATAACTTTGAGCAGCAACAGATATGGTAACATCAGTGGCAGGTTACTCTAGTGGTTTTTTTTATTGAACTTATTTACCACTATTTTCACAATCTAATATCTGTGCATATAGAACTAAGCGAGTAGCTGTCACACCTATTCCTGGTAAACGTCAATACTGCCTATGAATAGGATGTAAACATTTTTGTTATAATTTTCGTCTGTGTAATTACTTTTTTTTTCCTCTTGCAGTTGCCCTACGGATGCAAGAATGATCCGTTTGTAACACACCTTTGCTTATATATCTAGTCAATTTTATTTAACTCAAAGTTACTTTCAAACTACATGTTTCTTCTGCTAACTTAAGCTTGGTTGTTACCACTCATTATACTTTTTGAGAAGTTGAGTATGTTTCTTAGTGAATCTGCAAATGTTTCCGCAGTATATGTCTGGTCCTGTTGCTGCAATCTTTTTCGTGATGTTTTCTCAGTTTATTTTAATCAAGTTGGCTGAGCTTACAGCTTCTACTGAGTGCAATGTAAAACTTGGAAGATTTATGAAAATAAACCCTATCTCAACAAATCTTTTGGATTCCTCTAAGCGTCCTACTTTATGGTCAGTGACAGGTGCCTCTTAGAGGGCCACTAAAAAAGTTAGAACAAGTTAGAATGACATGGATAGGACACCCATGTCATAAAATGCATTTTCCTTGAAAAAAAAAAAATAAAGTATAACTATTTAGGGTGCAAGACTCATTTTGGCAAGACTGATTTTACATGTTTGCCTGAAAAGTGGTTGCTATTTCAAGGAGATAGCTTTCTTTTTGTAACTTCCTATTGGCTGGAAGGAAGTGATGGAGACGGATGTGCATACTTTTCCCAGCAACCCCTGCTTCCTTCTCTGCTTGCCACGAGCAGGTGCGAGAGAGAAAGGTAGAGTGGAGGACTGCTTTAAATTGTGTCACAAAGTGAAAATATTGCTGAAATTATACTGTCTGGGGGGGGGGGGGGGGAATGCATCTTGTGATATGCATGTTCTATTAGTCAGTAGAGACTGACTAACAGACTGTAGAGAGTACATAATCCACTCCAAAATAATTCAAAATCTTGCAATTGGAGAAACAATTGTAGAAGTTATCATGCAAATCAATTGCCCAATGGTTGGGGATACTGGTAATCCATGAAACCTTTTACTTTTGTGGGTAGTGAAAGTTTAATATAAAAGAAATGAAAATCAACACTAATTAATTTCGAAATATTGAGTCTGAATAGTTACAGTGCTGTCTCCACTATGCTCCGTTTCACTTTAAGTTAAAGCATAGTGAACGGTATGGGCCATCCCAGCTGATCCAGCGCCGGAAGAGTATCACATGACTTTCCAGTTGTGTGGAACGGGAGGCAGAGCTCAAAGTCACATCAGACTTGACGCTAAATTGACTGGGATGGCTCGTAGTGTATGCTGCGCTTCAACTGAAGGTGAAACGGAGTATAGCTGCTAAATTTGGCTTTGGAGTTCCGTGAGGCATATATATTACAGGCTACATTTCTGGTAACCGACATGTTGTCAACAAGTGCTGTGCTCAACAGTTACTAAGATGTCAACTTGGGTATTAAGGCAACTTGGAACAAACATTTTATCTTCAATATACCCATTCATTAGCTAAATGTGTCTAGCCTTTGTTGGTTATGAGTGCTAATTATTTTGGGAAT